TGCTGGTAACACCTTGCGTTACCATTCTGGTGACACCTTTAGTTACCCTACTGATGACACCTTGAGTTACCATACTGGTGACACCTTGAGTTACCATATTGGTGACACCGCTATGTAACAGCACCACCATCAAGGCCATCTATGTCTTGTATTACTATAGTTTTGTAACACTCAGATTGAATCTCTTCCGTGATGACCTACCACATGTAGATCATTGAATTGTTACAACTTAGCGTCTGAGCTGTCTATAGTATAGTGTAGTTGCAGCCTTTCAATGAATCAACACACTGAAATAAATCCGATGATTAATAACATTCACGGCTAATGATATGTCTAGTGTTTAAAGATGCTCTGATACGATCACCAATGTTCACAGAGTCACCACTAGACCGTGTTTTTGTCAGAGATACTCTAACACTCCGGTAAATCTGTACTAGTTTAATTTTATCTACTCGCTTGAGCATCAAAATCAGTCGTTCACAAGTGTTAAAACATCCAGACCAGACAGTATTGCAACAAAAGTAGCTTGTTTCGTTCAATAATTCAACAGCCAGTTTATACTAAAATCTCACAGTCACACAACGCAGTATTCATACAACACAACAGCACGTACACAAAACTCATGTTAACAGTAGTAGCCTGTATAATGTCAGTAACATTATATTGCGTGAATTTTCTTCATTCACAAAACATATCATTCTATGCTTGCCATTATTTTAAAGCATAGTTTTAGTAATGTAAGTATGTTCTGGTCGTATGTGCCCCCCTTTATCTTGCAAAATAGATCTGTACAATAACCTTACAGTTATGCAGTAGTTCTTTAGACATTAGACCTAACATCGATTTTATAAAAATTACGCACACATCTTTTTTCTTAACTCGTGTAGATTTGCCTGGCCATCACGCTAAGATATCATCTTGTCCCAATTGTTCCCAAAAAGCATTGTGGCAGATTAAGTAGAGTTAATGATGTGTCAGCATTATGCCAAGCCGCCTTTTGTTTTCTTAACGTGAGTTAGGTACCCATCAGAGCTGAGTAGGCTCAGGGACGTTCTACTGATTTGAAACCGTATTCGATTAGGAGACACGCGGTTTAGCAATCTAGCTCTCAACCGCCAGGCCATGCCTTCCCTAAAATAATTACACACTTTTTCTTTTTATTGTTTAGTTAATTAGAAACTTTAAGTTGACTCATTTTAAATCTTTAATTATTCCTATGTATCAGCTTTCACACACAATATAGTATTGAACCCCATTATATTTTTTACTATTTGTGATTTGCTGATTACCTTAGACGTTCCAGTTTTAAATGTTTAATAAGCCCGAGGTATCTGTTTTCACAGATAATGTATTAGGGAACCCCATATTTTCCCAATATTTTTCTTCTATTTGTGATTTTGCAATTGCTTAGACGTACCATTTGTCAATGTTTATTAACAGATGGGGATAACAACAGAGTTGGAAGTGTGAACAACGGCAAGTAAGAGACGCTGCTACTTTATACATGCACTGAAGATGTAAAGTTTTGATCAATTAAAACTATTTCTCAACAATTGGTTTTGTTTGTTAAAATAAATTTTCACGAATTTCACGTATTCAAAACATTCAAACCAGCAATAAAGGGATATAACTGGACATAGACCCCCCGACATAAACCCTCTGGACAAAAAAACCCCCGCGACATAAACCCCCTGGACAACCCCCCCCCCCCCCCCACGCGATATAAACCCCCTGGACAAAAACCCCTCAATTGAGGTTTATATAAGGAAAAACCAAAGATGATGAGAAACAAAATTAATATATAAATACAAAACAAACATTTCTGTTTTGGTAAACAGTGACCTGAATTAATCTGTGAACAATAATCCTCTTGGAGCGATTGTTCCTTTTTAATAAAGTCAATAAATTTCCAAATATTTGTTTGGCAACATCCCATATGGGACTGTAAAATTCTGTGCCAGCCTTCAACTGAGTTGTTTGTTTTTGGCATATGGCCTTCTGCACGTGTGTGCATGTGCCAAATATCAAGTGGAAACATTGGAAGGTTGTCTCCGACCGCGACGTTGTGACCTGCTAATATAGTCGTCCTGAAAGTAGTCTGCAATCGTTATCGCTTCTTGGGGGAAAATTTCCAATAATTTTTCAAAGGCATAACTCAAGTGTTCGATGGGAACAAAAGAAATAAGCAGGTAGCATTCTGAGCTTGAGAGCAAATTCACTAAGGCCAGAGTCCTGAATTTTTCTGTATATATTTTGGCTAAGATGGAAGAAACATCCTTTTACCTCACACTCTGGAAATACCCTTTCAACACTTTTTATCACAGCCATTTCAAAGTCAATTATAATAGAAATTGGTTGCAGGTTTGTGTTTAAGATCGTTAGCTGCTGTAAGAGTTATGTGTATGTTTCCTGTGTTTTGTTTTGAAGTAAGGCATAAACACATGGAACAGTCCGTCCATTGACCAATGCATGGACTGTGTACAGTTGTGAAAACAATGCATGAGCTTTTTTAATGCACCATCCATAAACCAGTGCTGATTAACCTCCAATAACCTAAGGTTGTCCTTGGTTCCAAACAAAAACATCATACCTTTTGAGTTGGCACCAGAATCGAACAGAAGCAACTGTTGTCCATCTTGTGTCATTTTATATTGATCAGGAATGATTATATCATCAACATTCCTTAGATCACACAGTGGGTGTTTTAACGTTTGACGTTGACGCCTGATGTTACGCTGTATGAGTGGAACCGAGGGCAGCTTGGCCTTGGCATCTTCAGTAATCGTAGTAATGGACTGAGTGATGATCTGCTGGGGTGTTGATTCCGTTTCTTCTGCCAGTTGTTTCATCTGCTGCACTACTTTACACACTTCCAGTTGAGATGGATCTGGTCCATGCGAATGTTCATTACAACGTCCAACAAGCTGTTCACCATGAATTTTTATTTTTGCTTTGCATTCTGCCTTGTTGCGTCTTCTGGTACACTCAAATGACACAACGCCGTTCGCCAGATCTTTTTGCTTGTCATAAACATAGCCTAAAATCACCTTTAAATTGCCTTCATTTGATTGAACGAACTCCATTTCGAAAATTATACTTGTGATGAAATAAATTTGATGTCGTATTTATACCATGCTTCTGTGTGCCAAGGTGGATATGAACCAAGCTTCCGCCGGTGAATCTCGAATAGCATTTTCTTAGGTAGAAACTATTTTCTTAGTTGTAAAAAATTAAATTAATTTAATGTATTTTTTTTATTTTTTGGTTCACGTCATCATTATTATTATATATATAAACCCCAGTCCGTGGGTTATTATCCAGGGGGTTTATGTCGCGGGGGGGGGGGGGGGGGGGTGTCCTGGGGGTTTATATCGCGGGGTGTTGTCCAGGGGGTTTATGTTGGGGGGTTTATGTCCAGGGGGTTTATGTCCAGGGGGTTTATGTCCAGGGGGTTTATGTCCAAGGGGTTTATGTCCAGGGGGCTTTTGACTGGACACCGTAAGTTTTAGATTAAATTACCTGTACTCCAGATGATTGAAGATGCAATTAAGCAAACAACATTCTGACCTCTCTTTTTCATAGACCTATATGTATCGCCAAACTGCTTATTTATTACGGAGAAAAACATAATGAAGCAGTTTATTCCTGTCATCTTTTTGGAGGGGAGGGGTGCGAAGAAAGACTACCCCCCGTACGAAATGGGATTTAAATAGAAGATATTTATTCATATCAATTCCACCCCTCCCTCGAAAATATCAAGTGCTTCCCCGAGAAAAAAAAGTATGAAAGAAACTGTAATATAGAACAATCAGGTTATGGAAGATAAGTTTTATTTTGAAAATTTAAAACAAAAAAGAATGCAATTAATAAAACAAATTTTAAAGAATGTATTCAAATATAAAAATTGTGAAATAACACAAAAATGAAAAAGCATAAGTCAATGTGTAAATGTATGTCTATACAAATAAGCAATTGCTTCACTTTTATGATTGAATCTATATTGGAGCAAGTAGGTTGGTTTGTTCGACTTGACAACACACAGCACTAATGTGTAGGGCCAACTCGTGTAGATGACCTGGTTCTCTGATGATTTTTATTTGAAGGAAATTAACCTCATAATTGGCATAAACATTTTCGTCTTCTTGAGACGTTTTTACCTCCCTTGGCTTGATCTGTTCGAAATTATTTGAGGTGGCGCTTGTTTCATTATAGATCTGTAGTGCTTCGTAGATAAGTCTGTATTGATCCTTTAGAATAGATTTTTTTTTTTTCTTTTAAAAAGACCTACTAATTATAGCTTTGCTAGTTAAAACATACACGTTACATGTGTAGTTCATTATCTCACAAAACTATCCACATAAGCAATAATCAAATATTTAAATGTGTATACGTGTGTATACGTGTCTGATACATATGTATTGTATTGGGTTCTAAACTGTGTGTATATACGTGTCTGATACATATGGATTGTATTGGGTTCTAATCTTAAAAGACAAAAAACATTTTAATTAATTTGTTTCATTAGATTTACATTTAAGCAAAATTTGTATGATACAGTAGCATTTAGAAAACAAAGTTTTAATAAAATTAAATGTAATTGGCCACCTTTCAATGTGATAGAATCGTCTTTTGTTGAAATATTAGTTATATTGCATTATAATAAAATCGTATTTGTGGCAGGAATCGATTAGAAAAAACGAAAATAAACAAAACATAAATTAAATTACAACCTGATTTTCAACCTGATTATAATTAAACTTCAAGCTGCCTTGTGTTAAAAGCTCAAGCTATTCACAAGTTAGACCGTGCACTAGCCTATCGTCTGCATCCCCCGTCCGATGACCTAATTTGCCAGTCTATATAAAGCCAGGTAGCCTCCTGTCGGCCACATACCGTGTTGTCTTACAACAACCTGTGACCAGCTAGAAGAAACATGCGCTTTGCTATTGTTTACCTTGCAATTACTGCTTGTTTAGTTTTGACTAGCATTAGATCGTGCAATGCAGGTAGGCTTGTTATGTTAACATTTCCAAGTGTTTAATTAAAAGCTAAGCACATTTAGCACGGCAGACTGTTGAAATGCAGAATTCGAATATAATATGGCTTTATGTTGTTTTTTTTAACAAGAATTCTTGTAATGTAATGTAATGTAATGTAATGTAATGTAATGTAATGTAATGTAATGTAATGTAATGTAATGTAATGTAATGTAATGTAATGTAATGTAATGTAATGTAATGTAATGCAATGTAATGCAATGTAATGTAATGTAATGCAATGTAATGCAATGTAATGCAATGTAATGTAATGTAATGTAATGTAATGTAATGTAATGTAATGTAATGTAATGTAATGTAATGTAATGTAATGTAATGTAATGTAATGTAATGTAATGTAATGTAATGTAATGTAAAGGTATTGTGATGTGTTTTGATGTGTTTAATGCGATGTGATGTTACTTAATGTGTCTCCTTGCTATCCTAGTTCTCTAAACAAATCATACCATGTTCTGTTCTAGTAAAATGCGGATCTAACCAGTTCGCCTGTTATGATCAGAAGCAGTGCGTGAGTGAAAGCTTGGTCTGCAACAACGTGAACGACTGCCATGACGGTTCTGATGAAGCTACTTGCAGTAAGTCAGGAATTTACATCATTTAAACTCTGACTTGACGGAATGGTCTAGCGGTAGAGAGCTAGAGTCTCGAATTCGAATCCGGATTCAAGTCAGTAGACCGCCCCTGAGTCCACCAAACTCTGATGGGTACCTAACTCACGTTAGGGAAAGTAAAAGCGGCTGGGCAAAGTGCTGACCACACTATCTCTTCATATGCCGAGGTAACAGAAACAAGTGAACTCTACTTAACTTGTCCTATAGACCGTCAGGTTTGAAAGGAACTTTACTTACTTAAACTCTGACCTGACTTCACTGACATGACGCTGTTGTGTCACAGTGTTTCTTCCGAACGAAATGTAATTTATATAGAAAACACATTCTTTTAACAGTGCCCCCCCCCCCCCCCCAAAGGGAAAAAAAAACTGGAAGAAACACTATAAGTGCAGTAAGTCAGTAAATCAAGAATTCACATAGTTTAAACTAAGACTTGACGTCACTAATATGTCTAAGTGGTATGTGGTTCCCAAAGTTTGCACCAACATCTTTGTTGGTTTGTTTTGCCTTGATCTTCGATAACGAAATAAATCATTATGTTAGATCGCATAAATGTATTTTTTAATAACTTGTGTAACTGTGTATATAATACATTATTCCCATTAGAAACGAGAAGAGTAGTAGAGTTTATTCACCTCTCAAGTTTTCTTAGATGGTACTTAGCAATGTAAATGTTACGGTGGTTATGTAAATAAAGTGTAGCAATTATTTTAGTTTCCACTTTCTTAAAAAAAGTGTTGTATTTGCTGTTACCGTCACAAAACTACCATTAAAATATATTATATGTATGATAGCTTTATTTTTAATAAATACGGTTAGTTTAGATATAAAAAAAAATTTTTGCACAGCCTCGAAAGAGCATTGAAAAATTAGTGATTATATAAATGTTTACCTGTCTCAAGAACACTGAAAAATAAATGTGTATTCTGCTAGTTAAAATTTAAATGAAAACTTTGTGATGAAAAAAATGTTTTCTGATAGTAAAATGTAAACTGTGTGATAAATAAATATATTCTGCTAGTTAAATGTAAACTGTGTGATAAATAAATGTATTCTGCTAGTTAAATAAATACTGTGTGACATATAAATGGTTTCTGCTAGTTAAATGTAAACTGTGTATTCTGCTAGATTCTTGTCAAGAGAATCAGTGGATGTGCTCCGGTGTAATGAAATGTGTGCCCAAATCAGCTCGCTGTAACAAGACCAGCGAGTGTAGCGACAACTCGGATGAACAAAACTGCCCCGGTAGGTGGCGGGTACATTCGTGATCGTCTGCTTTTGTTTTTGATCAATCTGGGTACATTGTTAAATACTGGGTAATAAGTTTAGGGTAGGTTTCTTGTTGAATTATAGAGCTCATCAAGTATGTAGAACATTAGCAGAACGTGATTGCTACAACTGGAAAGGAGTGTATTTCGTAACTAGTGGAACAATTTAGGGCTCAATAACAAACAGAATATCTATAAAAGTAGCCGAATTAACACCGTTTTAACTAGTCAAATAAAAAAAATGGCAAGAGAATGTGGTAACATCAAAGAGAAACTAAATGTTTAGGGTAACTTACTGCGGTACCACTCGTGGTAAAACACTTAGCTCCCACAGAGGGTGACATCCTGGGTTACCACATTGTGTGGCATCCTGAGTAATCATACTGGTGAAACCCTGTGTGACACCTTGAGTTACCATACTTGTGACACCTTGAGTTACCATACTGGTAACACATTGAGTTACCATACTGGTGACACCTTGATTTACCATTCTTGTCACACATTGGGTTACCATACTGGTGGCACCTTGAGTTACCATACTGGTGACACCTTGAGTTACCATACTGGTGACACCTTTGGTTATCATCCTGGTGATATATTGGGTTACCATACTGTTGACACCTTGAGTTACCATACTGGTGACACCTTGAGTTACCACACTGGTGACACATTGAGTTACCATATTTGTGACACCCTGAGTTACCATACTGGTGACCCATTGAGTTACCATACTGGTAACACTTTGAGTTATCTTATTGGTGACACCTTGGGTTACCATACTGCTGACGACACATTCAGTTACCATACTGGTGACACCTTGAGTTACCATACTGGTAACACTTTGAGTTATCTTATTGGTGACACATTGGGTTACCATACTGGTGACATTTTTGAGTTACCATACTGGTGATACCTTGAGTTACCATACTGGTGACTTCTTTGAGTTACCATTCTGGTGACACCACGGTATTTAACAGTACCCCTATCAAGGCCACCCATGACTAGTATTACTATAGATTTTTAACACTCAGATCGAATCTCTTCCGTGATGGCCTACCACATGTAGATCATTGACTTGTTCAAACTTAGCGTCTGAGCGGTCTATAGCATAGAGTAGTTTCAGCCACTCAATGAATCCACACCAGAAGAAATAAATCCGATTATAGCAAACATCAACAGGTAGTTTCTTGATTAATAACACTCACGGCTAATGCTATGTCTAGTGTTTAAGGATGCTCTGATACGATCACCAATGTCCACAGTGTCACCACTAGACAGTGTTTTTGTCGGAGATCCTCGCACACTCCGGTAAATCTGTTCTAGTTTAATTTTATCTAATCGCTTGAGCATCAAACTCAGTCGTTCACTTGTGTTAAAACATCCAGACCAGACAACCATGCAACAATAATAGCTTGTTTCGTTCATTAATTCAACAGTCAGTTTATACTAAAATCTCACAGTCACACTACACAGTATTCATACAACACAACAACACGTATACACAATTCATGTTAACAGTCGTATCTTGTATGATATCAGTAACATTACATTGCGTGAATTTTCTTCATACATAAAACATATCATTCTATGAGTATTAAGTTAAACAATATTATTTTCAGAATTACAAAAATAACACTAAATCATATAAATCAAATTTAAATAAAGATTATACTTGGCAATTAAGTCAACAGTCAATATAACATTTTCAATATTATTCGAGTTCTTTTACTGAAAACTGTTTTCCATTATTTAAAGCATTTAATCTTTTACCACAGCCCTACAGTTCTGCAGTAGTTCTTTAGATTTTAGACCAATAATTTATTCTATTTTTAAAATTACGTATATATTTATTTTTTCCTTACTCATGTAGATTTGCAGGGTCATCACGCCAATATATAAATTTTCCATATTGTGCCCAAGACCATTGGGGTTAATGAAGAAGAGTTCATCTGTTTCACTGACCGTGTCATACATAGGGATAATGTGGTCAGCACTATGCCCAGCCGCCTATGTTTTCTTAACGTGAGTTAGGTACCCATCAGAGCTGAGTAGGCTCAGGGAAGTTCTACTGATTTGAAACCGGATTCGAACTCTAGACATGCAGTTTAGCAATTTAGCTCTCAACCGCTAGGCTACGCCTTCGCTAGAATAATTATATACTTTTTCCTTTTATTGTTGAATTAATTAGATATTTTAAGTTGACTCCTTTTTAAATGTTTAATTAGTCCCATAGAGCATATAACCCCATTTTGACTCATTTTTTGATTTCCTGATTAGCTTAGAAGTTCCATTTTTAAATGTTTAATTATTCCTATGTATCAGCGTTCACACATAGTGTAACATTAAACCCCATTTTTTCCCATTATATTTCTTCTATTTATGATTTTGTAATTCGATTAGACGTACCGTTTGTCACTGTTTATTAACAGATGGGGGTAACAACAGAGTAAGAAGTTTGAACAACGGAAAGTAAGCGATGCTGCTACTTTATACATGCACTGGCGATGTAAAACCTTGATTGTGTCAGAACAGTTTTTTTTGAGGAATAAAATATAAAAACAATTAATTAAAACTATCAGCAGCTTGATTTAGTTTGTTGAAATAATGTTCACGAATTAATTAGTGCCTGATAACATATGTTTTGTTTTTCTGAATATATCTCTTTCAAACCAAAATTAATATTTAATATACGGTCCCATTGCTACACAATATTGATTATTCATTATTTGAAACTTCTTTCACATATCAGTAGCAAAACATTCAAACCAGCAATAAAGGCAAATAATCTAGTAGGCCTATCTATCAACAGCTGTCGCCATATTTAGTTTCCTTTCACGTGATACAGTTGAAGGAATTCGCAGATTTGTTGCAAGTTATGTTTTCTTCATACCACAAAATATTGCACTTTAATTCCTCGCAAGCATTATATTAATAAATTACCTGATGATACAATTAAGCAAATAGCAGAATGACCTACCTTTTTGATAGAACTTGAGATACCGCCCAACTGCTTAGTAATCCAGAGAAACACATAATAAGGCAGAGTTTCATCCAGTCATATTTTCGGGGGGTGTGGGGGGGTTGAGGGGGGGGTGAGGCGGGTGCGATAGAAGACTACGCATCAGTGTCCCCCCACCCCCACAGTCGTCGTACCCCCACCACCCCCCCCCCCCCCCCGGAAATATCAAGTGTAAAAAGGAAAGAAAACTCTGAAAGGAATACTGTAATGAAGAACAATCAGGCTTATGCAATATATGTTTTATTTTGAAAATTGTAATACAAAAAAAAAGAATGCAATTAATAAAATAATAATTAAGAATGTAATCAATAATAAAAATGTGTGAAATAACACAAAAATAAAACGTTATAAATGTTGTTTGCACCGTTCAAACTACAACGAATAGGAATAATATTTATTGTTGAGCTGCTAACCACTTTATCGACAAGAGTTATCAAAGTACAGAAAAATTACTCTCCTGTTAAAAAGCGGAACCACACTCAAAGTAGCAACTATTCGAGTAGTATCTAAACAAAAATAAAACTGGACCGTATTGAAAATTAATAATATTGGCAATTAATAACACAATGTTTACTTTGAATATCGCCTCCTTACAAATCACAGTGTAACTAATATTGAATAAATAGATCATTTTACTATTGACGCTATGATGACATGTTGTAATGTGCATTGGGTGCATTGTGTGCATCAGTCTGAACAAAATTAAGGAGTTAAATTCATGGAGAAAAAAATGTAAGCGCTTCCATTGACGGTTATGTTAAACATTTAACAAGGATAAAGGGGACATCTTTTAACCTAGCACATGCTTTACTTATAAAACAAACGAAAGACGTGTAAGTAAACATATTTTTACTGCCACATTTTATTTACCTCATTACTGATCTGTAAACTTTTTGTTACATGGAGATATATATTTATGTTAAATTCGATAGTATTTTAAATGAAGAGTGCGAACTACTTATAGGGCGATTTAACAACAACGCAACGATATACAAAAAGCATAAGTGAATGTGTAAAAGTATGTCTATACAAATAAGCAATTGCTTCACTTTTATGATTGAATCTATATTGGAGCAAGTAGGTTGGTTTGTTCGACTTGACAACACACAGCACTAATGTGTAGGGCCTACTCATGTAGATTACCTGGTTTTCTGATGGTTTTTATTTGAAGGGAATTAATCTAGTAATTGGCATAAACATGTTCGTCTTCTTGAGACGTTTTTAGCTCCCTTTGCTTGATCTGTTCGAAATTATTTGAGGTGGCGCTTGTTTCATTGTACATCTGTAGTGCTTCGTAAATTAATCTGTATTGATCCTTTAGAATACACAATGTTAATTTTTTTTTAAATTTGTTTCTTTAAAAAAGACCCACTAATTATAGCTTTGCTAGTTAAAACATACACTATATACGTGTAGTTCATTTTCTCACAAAACTATCCACATAAGCAATAATCAAATGCTTATATTACAAAAAGCAAGCTTTCAGCATATAACAAGACTTTAAAAAAAACTGTACACTGATGTCCCCCACTAACACATACACCATCCTTAGAATGACTACACTCACCACACTACGGATGTCCCTACTAACACAGCCACTACCCTTAGAGTGACCACACTACGGATGTCCCCCACTAACACATCCACTACCCTTAGAGTGACCACACTACGGATGTCCCTACTAACACAGCCACTACCCTTAGAGTGACCACACTACGGATGTCCCCACTAACACTGTCACCACCCTTAGAGTGACCACACTACGGATGTCCCCCACTAACACAGCCACTACCCTTAGAGTGACCACACTCACCACACTACGGATGTCCCTACTAACACAGCCACTACCCTTAGAATGACCACACTACGGATGTCCCTACTAACACAGCCACTACCCTTAGAGTGACCACACTACGGATGTCCCTACTAACACATCCACTACCCTTAGAATGACCACACTACGGATGTCCCCCACTAACACATTCACTACCCTTAGAGTGACCACACTACGGATGTCCCCCACTAACACAACCACTACCCTTAGAGTGACCACACTCACCACACTACGGATGTCCCTACTAACACAGCCACTACCCTTAGAATGACCACACTACGGATGTCCCCCACTAACACATTCACTACCCTTAGAGTGACCACACTACGTATATCCCCCACTAACACATCCACCACCCTTAGAATGACTACACTCACCACACTACGGATGTCCCTACTAACACAGCCACTACCCTTAGAGTGACCACACTACGGATGTCCCCACTAACACTGTCACCACCCTTAGAGTGACGACACTCACCACACTAGGGATGATCTCTGGTCTGACACACTTGAGTGAACCAACCACCAGAGGAACACAGACACGTTGGTCGTGGTCAGCCCTGTCTAGCAGCTGACCCAGCACACAGGCCAGACCACAAAGTCCAGCACCGTCCCTACAGTCGTGGAATCAAACATGTTTTATATTAGATGATGTGGAGATGGATAGATACGTTGTGGGAGTTTCTTTGAATTGCTTTGTCAGCATTAAACCTACAGTGTTTCTTCCAGAATATTTTCCTCTGGGGGGCACTTGATAATTTCGGGCGGGGGGGGGGGTTAGGGGGCCGGACAACATTATCTGTTGGGGGGGGGGGGGGCAGACACTGGTAGAAGTATGTTTTATATATTTCATTTCGTTCGGAGGGGGGTGGGTGAGGAGCGGGGGCGATAGAAGAAATTCCTGGAAGAAACTCTGTAAACCAAAATAATGGTGTAGTTACGAAACATAAGAAATAGATGTATGGCAGGTATAGCAGTTATGATATCGATAAGTAGATTTATAGTAAAGTGTAGTAGTGTGTACAACAGCGTACCTGCACATGAAGAGTACCTTGTCCTGTGAACACGAATACTTTGACCGTGCGTGTGCGGTCAGTGTGAGCAGATCTCTTGCGTTGAGGTGAGGGGCGAAGATGTTCATGTGAGTCAGTTTGTGGACAACGGTACCCTGTTATTTACAACAATATGCTTGTCTAAAGTTTTTTAATAAATGTTATCTTTGAACATTTGCCGATTATTTTTGTTTACTTTACAATGCAGATTGTATAACAAGTGTGCAGCATAGTGTTCAATCATCGAGTTAAAATTATACGTGTATTGGTTATTGTGAAATAGTAGGACCTAGCAATGACGTATTACAGATACCTGTGTCTTTGATGTGGGTTTGATTGAAACCTCTAACTCCTCCCACACATTGCCAGTGTGTACTTGACCTGTGTGGATTGTGTAGGGGCCACATACGAGTTGTACAGTAACGTTTGCGGGAAGATACTGGCCAATGGTCTGAAATAGGAACATGTATAGAAGGACTTTAACCATTGAATGCTACTGCATAATAAATAACTTTACAAGTCAAATAAAAACGTTTCATGAATGAATGAAACTAAACTTTTTTTGGAAGTAAGAGAAACTAAAGGATAAAGCGCACATTTAGAAATAGCAGCTATATGCCTAGATGTGAATTACCTCATCATTTTTGTTGGTATCGCTTTGGAATGCTACAATCAAAGACACTTTGTACTGAACAACCATTTTCCAGAAATTAATGACTGTTGTTGGCATTGGTAGCTGTGTCAAAATATGGCTCTCTCGTTTTGTAAAACTCTGGAAAATGTAAACATTTCATAAGAAACTCTTGCTGGTGTTTGCTAACTATTGTTGCAAAGTGACATTGTCTTGTTGTTAATGTAAACATTCATGGTATCTGAACATGTATACATAATTTAATTTTCATGATATATGAAAATTTTTTTATTTATTTTCGCTATTGACCGCGCTAAAATGCTACAATTATGTATATATATTTATAAGAATTACGTACAGGAACAAACACTGCGTTGATATAGTCGTCCATTGAAGGAGACTCACATGAAAGGAAAACTCGGTATTCTTTCTCTGAAAATGTAAACAAAAAAACTATTGTTTTAAGAGTGGAATATATTATTATTTTAACTGTAAACGCCATATCCTGCCGCCACTTAACACAACATAGGCTTATGAAAAGGGTTGAACTTGTATTAATTATTATTAACTTTCTTAATCGATGTATTTATTTTGAAATGACCTACACATACTAATTACATTAGCTATTTGTAAGCGCATTCCATTGTTCTTGTAATGGTACATAATTTATAATGTGTAATTTATATGGTATTTAAATAGCTCGTACAATAAAGTATACATGGTTGAAATGTAAAATACAAAAATATGTTTGTGAGCATCGTTAGGTAGCTACATCAGTTTTGAGAGCTGTTCAGTGTATTATCTATGACGTACTTGGGATAATCCCCACCACCCTGTTCTTGTCTCTGTTTGGCTCAGGCATGTTGTTCTGGTACACTGTGTCTTCCTGTTCTGTGTTCGTCTCTTTGTATTTGTTCTCTAGATCTGAGCAGATGGCTGAAACAGACTACAAAAAAACTAAGTCAGTATCCAATACAAATACACGTTCTTGAATAATAATTGTAAATTGGCATTCCAAGAGTCCACCCATCTATACAAAGTATCTTGATATATGCATGCATTCGAAATAATTGCTGTGTTAGATAAAAGGGATTTTAATAGTACTTGGTATTTGTAATTACTAAAGATTTAAAAAAAAGAAATACATATTTTGTATTACGCTATCAATTTTAATAAGGTAAACACAATAATTACAGTAAATTCCTTCTCTAAGTTGGTTTGTCCTGATATAGTTTTCTGCTGCAGGAGTTGAAGACGAGCTGGAATGTCTTGTAGAGTTATGGTGGTGTCACGACAACACAGTGCTACCTGGGCAGCTCGGTGGAGAAACTCGTACTGACCCTATTACACATAACATTCTATTAAAACATGCTTTAAGGACATAGGCAATTTTTTTTACGGTTTACGTTTATAATTTATTGGAAAACTTTTAGAACATGTAAAATATATTTGTTGTTTATTTTATACATTTTTTCTAGTCTTTATATTACTATCTGGAAACATTTACTTTTTTTTTTTGGTGTAAGAATACAGAAGTAAAAAAAACAGTAACATAAAAACCAGGGAATAAAATAGAAGTATCGTACAGCTGTCTGAATCATCAGCACTCTGTCTTGTCTGAGTTTGGCTACTGTGTTGAAGAAATTAATCTTCCCTGTGTCCTCGGCTTCTTTGATCACGTTTCTCAAGGCTATAAATGTACCTGTCCTTCCAACGCCAGCACTGTGAAACATGAAACAACATCTTCTTGCAATCGATTATTTGGTAAATGATAATACAACCAGCTCTAGAAAAGTAATTAAAACAGTAAAATGGTAAAAAAACAAAATTCGTATATAACGTGAAAAGTATCTAACTCCTATGATTTTGGCTGGTATTTTAAGCAATTTATTTGTGAATATCTAATATGAAAGCTTTAATATTTAATCTCTAGGGCAGTTCAATGCTTACTAAAATGCTAAAATGGTGTTTAGTACCTGCAATGAACAACAACTGGCCTGGACGTACTCTCTAAAGCCACTCTCTGCTCAAAGTCAACCAGACCCCAGGGGTTTGATGGCACACCTTGATCCGGCCAAGACGTGAAGTGGAAATGGGTCAAGGTGTGAACAGGCTGGCGTTTCTTTCGTTAGTTAAAAAACAGTTTTAAACATGAAAACCACATTGCTTAAAGTTTATATGTGCATCACGTGTTGCATGTTATGGTACATCATATTGAAATTATACTATATGTTTGAAGCAACGCGATTTTTATTTTGTTCAAACGTTTTAACTCTCAGTAAATTGTTACACATGTAATGGTTGAAGATTTCATTTACACTTGTCGGCTTAGCAGGCGAGAGATCAAATATTGATGATCCAACATTTTACACAAATTAGTCAACTTATTGATTTAACATAAGACATGTCAACATTCGTGATTGAAAATATTCTCACAACACTTATGTATTACATGGCATAATATTCCTTTGTGTATGCTTACTTTCTACAGCTATAATGCGCTTTTAATCATGCGAGAAAAATACCTTTTTGAGTTCTAATTTTCGAATAGTGTAGTCAGCAAACACTTGTGTAGAGGCCAGTTCTACTTTAATGTCCCCAAACATTGTGGATTCTTTTTCTGGCCAGTAGCGTTCGCATTTTACCTTAAACATAAATTATTGAGTTAAATTTAAGCAGCAAGCAATCTTGACACTTATGGCGCGGGAATACAATTAATATAAAAAGTCAACATTAACTCTAACTTAATATTTTTTTAAAATATGGTAGGACTGTTAAGTTCAACATCAAAGACAAAAGATGTTTTACATGTTTATTTTGTGAAGGTCTTGATTGTTGCTGTTATACGCAAACTAAATAAGTACGTTAAAATTGTATTATGTTTGCTCATTATGACCATATCAACATATCATCTACACAATGTCTTCTTAATATGTACAAATACACTTTTGTCTTTATTATTTTGTCTTGTTTGTAATACCCAAGTTAAATTATAATGGTGGGCTCAATTTAATGCTCTTTTGCCCACTATTTATAAAATAGGTATGCGCATTACTATTCTTATGGAGCATCTATTTTGTATATTTTTAAAATTTACATTAACATTTAATTTCATATTTGTATCTTTCAGTTGAGATGGCTATTTATAATATACTGCACACAAAATCTAGTCTAACAGTCAATACCTACCTTTCCTTCTTCAATTAAATTTGTCAGCATAACTACGACTTCGACATTCTGTTCCCACAGCATTCTCACAAAATCATTCAACATCACATTGTTCGGTCCTAGTGATTTAGTGTTAAGTTGAAACATCAAAGTTATATAATTATGTCAATATAATTTAAGATCACTAACTTGCCTTAACTGTAAAGTTATTTCAGTGGCACCAATCAGTGCTCGGTACAAATAATAAGTTCTTATAAAGACTTTTGTCATTACATGGCATTAATAAAGTGAAAATAGTCGTCTAAAATGGCATTTCTGTTAAATAAGTCAAAAGCACACACACTCATAAGGGACGTAGGGGTCTAGCGGTAGAGAACTGGACTGCTAACCTATAAGTCTCGAGTTCGAATCCCGGTTCAAGTCAGTAGACTGTCCCTGAGTCCACCCAGCTCTGATGGGTACCTAACTCACGTTAGGGAAAGTAAAGGCGGCTGGGCATAGTGCTGACCACACTATCTCTTCATATGCCGAGGTCACTCTACTTCACTTGCCCCATAGACAGAATTTCTTCCAGGCATCTCTTCGGGGGGGGCAAAGCCCCCCCCCCCCCCCCGAAAAATTTTTACCGCCCCCCGAACGAAACGAAATTTATATAATTTATATAGAAAATATATACTTTTAACAGTGTCCGCCCCCCCCCCCCCGAAGAAAGTTTACCGCCCCCCCGAAGATTTCAAGTGCCCCCCCCCCGGAGAAAAAAGTCTGGAAGAAACACTGCCCATAGACCGTCAGGTTTGAAACGGAAACTTTACACACTCTCACAAAATACCTTACAAAAGACATGATGTATTTTCATTAGTAACAAATATGATTTTTCTAAATACTGATGAATATAAGTAGCGTTAAATAATTCTTAAACTTTCGGGTATTTTGTGTAAAATAACATCTGGCCTCCGAGTTATAATCGAAACATAATAATCGTTAACATGATTGCTACATAATAGTAAAACTCAAAATAATCAATGTAAAAATCAGAACAAATACCTTGTGACGCAATGAATTTGTCTTTGTTATTGTATCCCTGCAAAATAGTAGGGAAGTGGGCATTAAAAAGTTATGTTATAATATTATACTGCTTTTTTTACAATGAAATAACTACGTAATGTGCAATCAATGAAAAAGGTATACTTTTACTTGAAGAACAGATATTTTTTTTTAAATTTTATGTTCTGATTACCTCAATATACGAAGCATTTATATAGTCTCCTTCATTTTTTAAAGTGTTGATTTCAAGATGAACTCTGGAATGGTCATCTGCAGAAAATAAATATAGTGCCTTGGAAGCAGATCTTGAGTGAAAATATAATCTCTACTTGTATTAAATACGTAATATTTTAAGCAATGGGTAAATTTAACTTCCAAATGTAACGTTTTATAAAAACTTGGTACATATTCTGTAGCACACGTACAGGCGCAGATGTTTTTGTATCTGTTTTTGTTTTTGTTTTCATCGCTCAATCCAACGGCCATATTCACATTTTTAGCTGATGGTATATTCTGCAAAATTGACATTAATAATAGTAGGCCTAAGTTGCAAATATACATAAAAACAATCATCTTTCAATTAATTGCAAATACCTTAAATATATTTACTGAATACATATAATATATGTATTCAGTAAATATATTTAAGGTATTTGCAATTAATATATATATATATATATATATATATATATATATATATATATATATATATATATATATTGAAACTTGAACATATATAATAAAGAAGGTCAATGTAATTTTATAAGCAAAAAACTACAAAATGTATCTAGTCAAGTATATGATTAAAATATATTGCCACAAATCTTGAATTCCACACATTTTATTTTATTTTCCATTTAATCTATACCAAAATTAAAGAACACATTATGACACAATGTAGATTTAAAGGAAATAATTGAAAATATATTGCAATCACAATAAACTACAAAATAATCAAACCTGAAATTCCTCAACAAAGAAGTCACTTTGATGTGTTTTTATGAAATCAAATAATGTACCAAGCGCAATCACTTTGCTATCACCCTCTATCAAGGTTTTGCTTTTAAACGTACTAGGACTTGTTCCAATTGACTTCTCTTCTGTAAAAGCGTTATAGGGTATATGACGACAACATATATATATGTACATATGTATATTATAAAAGCACACAAACATATGTATAGGCTATATATAGGTCTATATATAGACGTATCGGTTTTTAATATAGTTTTCTACTTAACTTCTCATAAATAATCATGTGCAATCTATTAAACAGAAGCAGACATAATTATTAAGTAGGATTGAGCATTTCTTGCATCCACTGTAATCCATTCGTTTACAGCAGGTATTTGATCTACAACCAGAGCCTGGTGTCGACCCTAAAGCAACTCACGCCCTGGAGTCCATATAGCCTAACACACTCGTGATCAACGTGTGAATAAATGTTCGCTCAGAGTATACATTCATTCTAACATTATACCTTGATTATACTCCTCAGTTAAATTCTTGGCTGTTACATTTTCTAAAGTTTCTAATTTAACGTCTGTCTCATTATCTGTCTTTATGTTCCGTTTCCGTCTGTAAAATGAAAGACATATGTTGTTTGAAAGATATGCTGTTTGTCTTCACAAAGTATATGCATATAAATGTATGTATATATAAATATAGGGACAGTGTGTTAAAGCGCCTGACTACTAACCCAAATGTCTAGAGTTTGGATCGGACTAATTCCACCAAGCTCTAATCGGTATCTGATTTACGTTAGTCGCACATAGGGCGCTGGGGCCTAGTGAAGGCTACAAAATCTCTTCATATCCCGTTGTTAAGAAACTTATATAATCTTTAACTCAAGCATACAATATTGTCTATAATAAAGGTGGATTAAGCTAGCATTCAGCTTCAGTGCACTGGTAGAACACATTTCTCATATACCTGTTTAAAATGTATATATTCACAGAATATTATGTAAATCCTAATCAGCATAATAATAAATAGATAAAGTAACTGAATAAAATTCAAATAACTTAGTAAAACAAACATTGCGAATAGGTTCTACAAGATCACTTATTTCCTTAACTAATTTATAAAACGGCATTATTTCTACGTAAACATTTTAAAAATAGATCTAATTACATTAATTGTAATCATTTATTAAATTATGATCGGGTGTTCACATTTTAATGATAAATATTTTGAAAATCAGCCTAGAACAAAATACAGCAAGCATATCTATACCTTGTAACGATAAAGATTATCACAAGAACTGCAGCAACTGCGACGACAAGCACACTAAGTGAGATAAACATTGTTTGATGTGTGCTGTTTTCTGACTGGGTAAGTTCCCCTGCAAACATTTAATGTGCATGAAGTATTTTAATTATTTGAATGGTTAAATATGGCCATCGTTCTTATCTATTAAACAATTTAATTTAGAATATGAACCTCTTTTTGAACTAAGATAGATGTATGTGTATTAAATCAAGTTATTATTATAAACTTGATGATTTATGTATACGATGCTCTATTCACAAATGTCAAAACAATATATACATTTAACTTTTTAAGTAAGTATGTTATGTATATTTACATATATATATAAATATACATATATATATATATATATATATATATATATATATATATATATATATATATATATATATATATATATATATATATATGTATATATATATATATGTATATATATATATATATGTATATATATATATATATATATATATATATATATATATATATATATATATATATATATATATGTATATATGTACATATGTATATATATACATATATATATATATATATATATATATATATATATATATATATATATATATATATATATATATGTGTATATATATATATGTACAAGTGGCATAGAATTATCAAAAGCCCAAAGACAAGATCATTATAATTTTTATAAGTGAACTTACTCTAATGTTGAGATTAGAGTTGTTACATTTTAAGTGTGCTTTTGAGGTTTAAATTAAGATCACATGAATTTTAACGAGATGTTAGTATTACACTTAGATTTAATTTATAAATTATCAAAGCGACTGTGTATCATTTTTAATTACACATTTATTTTATATAATGTAATGTTAATATCACTATGGCAAAATAAATTTAATTAAAAAACCAAACTAAAAATATTTTAAAAAGGAAGTAGGGATGTTTTAAATTTATTTTGATAAACTCACCTTTTGAACTTACTTCGAATTCAAACAAAATAAAAATACAATGTAAACGACCAAAACCGACAATAACCGTTCTATAAAAAGAAGACATCACGTTAGATCAATTTCTATTGTAAGCAACACAAAAGGTAGGTAATAAAAAGTATTTAATATGTTACACCTTTCTTGTAATCTGTACATTAAAGTTTAACTACTAATTTATGGGTATGGGTTTGTTTAACTTTTGTTATGTATAACTATTTACACATTTCGTGCAATGTTTAACTGTTTTTCAATTTCAAATGTATAAAATGTATTAACACACCACTATATTACTTTCATCAAGATTTAGTCAGTATTTTCTTATAAAGATTTTGTAAGTTTCTAAAGCAAGTATTGGGCACTAGGATAGGGACCCCAAGTAAAATATTGCTTGACCGTATTAGACAATTTTCACGACTGAGAATGTAGAGCTTAGACCTCACTTGAAGAGAAAGTATTTACCCAAAGTTGAGACTCTATAAGGGGATATTATTCGGGAAAAATGGCATCCACTTCAAAGGGAACCGTTGGTTAGCATTTTAATTATTTCTGGTACACAGTATACTCTAATTAAAAGCAAGCCATCAATTGCCTCACACTAAATAAACATGAACATATATATATATATAATTTATAAGGCAGCTATGAGATATATAATAAGTGTATCTTACACAAATGGAAAATTGATGAAATCGCACCAGGATGTACATGATGTAAAAGTAAACTGAAGACGTAATATTTTTTAAAGTGTTTTGTTTTTGTTACAGTCTCGTTCTACATCTATATATCAAGTTATAATTTTTGAGTTATTTTCAAAATAATGAATGGAACTTTATTTAAAATATTTGAATTTTTTATTGTTATAGGTGGATCAGGTACCCACTCTGTAATATTAAGTATTTTTATAAATTATTAAATATAATTGAAATTACCTTTCAATTCTATACGCGTTCTTTTTAAACACTACATATCTTTAAGCAAAGTATATGCCTACTTTTGTAAGCATAACTTACCCCAGAATAAGCTACAGACGTCATCCGCAATGCTGAATGGTTTTCTACAGCCAATCAGACATGTCCCGTTAACTTTGTTGCACACCTCGTCAGTAGCATTTACAACACACATAAAACTACAGTTGTTCAAGCAATTTTCTCCGTACTTCCCATTATCACATGCTGAAAATTAGGAAGCCTAATAAACAGAATATAATGATTTTTTAAAATATTATTTTTTTACAATTGCATTGCAATGTTTTTTAATTTTTTTTCAGCAATGCTATCAAGAAACTATTATTTAAACAAATAAAGAATATTATTAGAATCTTGTTTGTTACTTCTTCTTGCGTGTGAGTTGAATTTTTATAGAAGTAAAACAAAATATGAATTTAACTTAAAAACTGAAAGAAATGATATTCAACCTCCAAATCTTACTTTGACTACACTTCTCTCCATGATAACCAGCAACACAACCATGTAAACAAGTCCCGTTAGCTGGGTCACATCTGCCATCAACCGCACAGTTGTCTGAACATTTGTTCGTACAATTTAGCCCGTAGGTGTATACGGGACAGTCTAAAATAGTTTATTCAATAAGAATATCAAAAGAAAACAAAATCGAGACAGTTAACATAAAGTAATACAGAATGGTGCAAAATGTAACTTTTCTTTAAAGAAAACATCACCTTCAGTGCACTTGGCCCCGGCTCTACCTGCCACACAGCTGTTACAGTCTCCTGTGACGTGGTTGCACAACTGATTGAAACACAAAAGGCCGCAATGTTCTATACAGCCTTGACCATAACGATGTTGATAGCAAGCTTTAAAATATATGTTAAATGTAATATAATTTAGTATTAACAAATACATACAGTAAACTGATATTAACTAACGTAGACTATAAACGGATGTTAACTAATGTAGACCATAAAAACACTAAACAAAATAAATCCGAACAAACATAAAACAATCAAATGCGTTTACAAAAACTGAATATTAATTCACAAAATTAAGAATGCTCAAGAGTCCTTGCGGACTCCATCGCGGTGTACAGGTCCTAATTCAAAATTACAGTCTGCGCTGTAAAAGGTTGTGATACTCGAAGTGGCAGATCTATAGGAATTACTTTATTTCGACTGCCAAGGGCTATATTAAACCAAAGTGATAGATATCGGCAGACAACAGAACGTAGACACTGTCAATTTTTAGCCAATATTTATTGCAGCGCTGTGAAGCAGCGGCAAATAAAATGCGAATATATTCTTGGCACTTTGTTTTTGGTAGGGACAGTAAACAATAAACTTCATTTTAATTAACGAAAGACAACTATTAATAAAACAAATATGCTCGACCTTCACAAATCTTAATACCAATAGACCAAAGTAAAACGTAAAAATCAAATTTAATAGGAATATTTATTTAAAAGTTTTGATCCAGAATCTGGCTCTCAATGTAATCATGTTGTAAACAAAATTAGATCTAGATTTAGAGTGACTGCACCACTAAGTAGACATATAATCTAGAATCTACTTATTTAATTGAATTTAATTACAAAATTAATTAATTTAATTGCAAAAATTAGACAAATTTTCGATTCAAAATACACCAATAATAAATTTAAAAATAGGCCTAGTAGGCCTGATAAAAAATGTAAATATCTCTAGATCTAGAATCTAGTACTATATTCTAATAATTTTGTTTAGCAAACGGAATTATCTGAAATTGAAACAGATTGTATAACTAGAATTAGATCTAGAAGCTGTTACTTAAATTAAATTTTAAAAGTAGCTGATATTTTTGTAGAAGGCTTTAATAAATTTCTTAGGCCTACGAATTATGTGTCTAATTACAGTAATGTGTATCTGATAGGGGACTGAGCTTAGCTAAATTTAGAAGCAAATCAGCGATACTGATTTCCCCTTTTTTTCCCTGCTAGACCCTGAGGGTAAAACATTACTTAAGAGATGCTATCACTGGTTAGCTGATATTTATGAGCAGCAATCTATGTTACCTACAAAGAGATGAGGTTTTATGATGGGTTCGAAGCAGGTGGGGGCTGGGTATCATGTACATAAGAAAGTTGAGGGGGAAGCATCATCATGTGTCTGATAACTTCCCTGCTGGACCATGAGGGCCATAAATTACATAACATGCAACCCAGATTGGCTGAGATCTAAGAACAGTAGTGGTTGTTACCTCAGAAGTAGATTAGCAGTTTTATTTGGGGTTACGTTGTCTCACGTTTGATACTGTAGTATAGATCTATTGCTACAAAATCAAGGACTCTATAAGTACGTATTGAATTTTAACTATAAAAACACATTTTGTAATAACAGTCATAATCAAATTTATAATTTCTCTAACCCGAAAATATGTGTGTCGATACGTTTTGTTACTTCTATTTTATACTAAAACTGATAAATATATTATTTATTTTGTTTGGTCCGTAAAATGCTAACAAGCGGCATTTATTGTCCTTACGCTGTAAACAAGTGGGACCTTGGAAACCATTGTAACATCGGAAACAATTTCCGTTAGTTCTGTTGCATTTTGAATCCATGCAGTTAGATGAGCATTGGTTGAGACATCTTTCTCCGAAATGGTATTCATCGCAAGCTATGAAATAAAATACAAAACAGATGAGAACAACATTACAGAATAGTTTACTATTTTCTAGTATTAATGTAATAATTTACATGTGCTACACGTAAAAGGTGCGTTCACTTAATTAAAAAAATGTATTCTCTAGACATTCGACTGATGGAAAAACTGGTTCTTACGAGTGCTGCAATTAGAACCTTTGTAGCCATCATAACAGGACAAGCAGTTACCATTTTCTGGGTCACACTTCCAACCCTTGCATTGACTTGAACATCGCCCATTACATTTTAGTCCGAAAGTGTACAGTTCGCAACCTACATGAAGTATTTATACATTTTTTTTCTTTACGGCATTATGGCATAGCAGTACAAGGAAAAGAAAACTCTGGGTTTATACCTTAAACTTAATGAGTTGTGTAATACCTCTTGCTAATTTATAGAAAGTCAAATGAACTGCGATATTAAATTAAGCAAGATAGTGCATTTTACAAGTAGCAGCTTTGGGAACGTATGGGTTCATACATATTTGATAGCTAAATGTAAATTGAAAAGCCCAATTTGTTCACATGTTAATAACATTTATTTCTAAAACAATTTACTCTAAATTAAGATATTAGCAAAGGTCGAATAATATACGAATTTAAGAAGATAAAAACATGTTTTTTAGCGATTTGCAAAGCGGCTAGAGCCTACGTTGTTCACAGTGATATCCTTTTTTCCCAGGGGGGCATGCTGTACATCTTCCTGTTGCCGGATCACAATGTCGACCTGTACATTGCTTACTGCAAATATTGCTACAGTTGGTTCCATAAAGCCCACTTGAACACTCTGCCAATTGTGGTAAAATATAATCAAAAATGAAAGATGGTCTTTAGGCAATTACTGTGCAATATATCTTTTAAAAAATATTGTCGTTATTGATTACATGATTATAGTAATTTTTTTCCTTTTTCATCTCTACACCGAAATCAAAGCCGGAGCAGGAAATTTAGCCGGATAAGGTTATTCAGGAAGAAACGTGAGAAATTTAACCGGAAAAAAATTTCACTGAAAAGGTATTTTATCCAGAATTTGTATTTTAGCCGGACCAGGAAATTTCAGCTGGTGGATACGAAAACTTAGGCAGAAATTGAAATTTAGCAGGATACGAAATTAAATGAAAACAGAACTATGAACGAAATCGGCAAAGTTTATTTCATGTAACTTCCTTCCCCTCCGCACTTCCCTCCCCCCCCCCCAACTCAGTGATAGCTTTAAAATGCGCGCAGATAATACCAGCGATATGTATATATAGTCGGTAATTAATACAGATGGATGTCGCATGGTTTTCTCTATAGTTTGCAGGTTTACGTCATGGTGTCGTCGTCCCCCCCCCCTTTGTTCTTAAAAGTATTAATTAATCATCTATTTAATTGTAATGATCATTTTTTTTCTGTATGTATTTTGCAATTTTGGTCTTGCTGTCACCCCCTAAATGATGTTACCATGTGCGGTCCAAAGTTATACCTCTTGCATATAATTACATATATCAAGAGTATCAGTTAAAATAGATTAAACACATCCAGTGGCGGAACTAGAAAAAGCCCCCCCCCCCACCTAGCAAACACATTTATATATATATATATATTATATATATATATATATATATATATATATATATATAATATATATATAATATATAAACACAAAATACGAAATTAATTGTTGGCCTGTTCGGGTTTTGAATTTAAAAAATTAATTAAAACAAATTACAACAACTTGTCATGTGTGTAAGTGCATTAGTGTGTTTTGAAAAGCAGTTGTATGTTATATCTGCTATAAGATCTCTTGACCTCTAGATGGTCAAAACAATATAAAATATGAAAGCTTTGTATGGTGTCTCGTGTTATGTTTATTTTCATGTTGTTTTTTGTATTATAATTATTAATTTTAAATATATTTCCTTTTTATGCAATGTTATTCTTTAGTAAGTCCTTTATAAAAAAAATAATAATTAAGAGAAGTAATTGTTTATTAATTTGTGTTTTAATTGTCTTTTAAAACGAACTTATGAGCACCCATATTTGACAACTTAAAGAAGGGACGTTTGAACATTTACACATCTTTGATACGTTTGATTGTAGGAGAAAGAGGACTGCTTTCACAGTGGTTTTAAAACAAAGAAAAAAAAGAATATACAAGAGTGTGGGATGGTGTCTATAGAATAAAGATAATCCAACCGCAGCTTTTTTACAAAACAACCATCAAGTCAAAAATGCAATAAAATTTTTAAAACTATAAAAAATTTATTCTGGTCGGCTGTGGGCTCCTAAATGACGTGCCCCCCCCCCCCCCCGCATTGCGGAGTCTGGTGGCGCTGTAGTTCCGCCTCTGAACACATCGTGTGTAAGCCATCAAGTTCAGATATCGTGTGTATCTTTTATTTAAATTATGTGACTTATTTTCACTTATTATATCTAATCATTTGTATTAGCTGATTTTACTTTTATAGGTCAACGGAAAGTACTCAAAATTTTATAGAAGGCAGACATGTAAATCTTTTACTTATATGTGAAATCTCAAGTATTTATCTGAAATAGTACTCAAGTTATAGGCTTTCGCAAACAGTGAAAGTAAAAAAAAAGATCCACTTCCTTTTATCGAAAATCGGTCAAAAATTGATACGGATCTACAAATTTGATATAATTCTTATATATGAAATTTCATTAACCTAGCTGTAACGGTGCTCGAGTATTTGTGTTTACACACACACACACAACACACATACACACAGAGAGAAATTCGGACAAGATTGCAAAACTATGTTTTTCCAATTTAGGGAGGTGTAAAAAAAATTGTGCACAATTACAAGACTTTCTCTATACTTCGTATATATGAGAAAGTGAAAAGTAAAAAAAAAATAATATTAAAAAAATATCTTGCTTTTTAAATGTATAGCTAACTACATGCAAAATAGGTAATAATACATTCTTGGTAAATTATACTTCAAAAGGCATGAAACTGAACGTATAAACTAAAAAGTATTTTATCCAGAATTTAGATATTAGCCGGACCCGGAAATGTCACCTGATGGATACGAAAACTTAGGTGGAAATGGAAATTTAACAGGATACTAAATTATTTGAAAACAGAACTTTATACCAAATTGGCAACGTTTGTTGATGTAACTTCCTTCCCCTCCCCCATCCCTCCCTTCCCTTGCAACTTTTGTCTTGCTGTCACCCTCTAAATGATGTTACCATGTGCGGTCCGCACCCAACCCCCCCCCCCCCCCACCCTCCCGTTATACTTTTGCATATAATTACATATATCAAGAGTATCAGTTAAAATAGATTAAACACATCGTGTGTAAGCCATCAAGTTCAGATAACGTGTGTATCTTTTATTTAAATTATGTAACTTATTTTCGCTTATCAAATCTAATTGTTAGTATTAGCTGATTTTGCTTTTATAGGTTACAAACAAAACAAACTATTTTACATAACTTGCGATTTAAATGTTAAGTTAAGCATTGTTTTATGAAGGCATAAGTGTGTATGTGCTTTTTACTTCTCTGTAAATTAACTTAACTTTGACTTATTTTTCCTTTTTTACCTGATTGTAATACCCCATTAGATGTTAGGGATTGTTTTATAAACAAGAAATGATTAGTGTCTAGTCATAAAAATGAAATAAATTTTATGATTTAATCCACTCTTAGCGACTAATACGTTGCATAATAATTTTCGTCGAAGGGCACAGGTTGTGCATCAACTGTTTTGAGAAGTCTAGCTTACATATTACATACTTGATTAAACCCTACCTCTCTCACAGAAATCCCCTATTTTCCCTGGATGACATCTTTTACATTTTCCACTGACTGCATCACAGTCCTGATCTTTACAATCTAGGCTGCACTTTCCAGTGCATTCATCTCCGTATGTACCTCTATCACAGTCTTTAGTTGATACAATTTTGACACAGGAATTAATGTTATTTATTTGCATACATTTAGAATCTATTAAAATACATTTAAAAAGTGCATGTTTCCTGCGAAAAAGTATTGATTAAAGTCAGCATTATAATTATAATGTATATAACTCCAGACTAAACTTTACTTGATTTCTTCAATGTTAATTTGTCTATTGAAGCTTATAAAGTTTCATATGTATCATCCCCGGGCTTTATTTTGAAATAAATATACGATTTTGATATTATACTTATATATGACATTTCATCAACCTGGCTGTAACGGTACTCAAGTTATCGTGTTTACAGACACACATACATACACACAAGCAAAAACCACATACACACATACTGACAAGATTGCAAAACTATGTTTTTCCGACATATCATGTTTTTTAAATGTATAGCTAAATACATGCAACATAGCCAATAATTGGTAAAGTATACTTCAAAGGACTCGAAACTGATTGTATAAAGTAAACAAATGAAACCTACTGAGCTGACAGTAGTCTCCCTTTTTTCCAGCCGGACAAGATTTACATCTCCCACTGGCTGAATCACAAATTCGATTCGTACAATTTTCACTGCATTGTTTGCTGCAGTTATCTCCATATGTACCGCTTTGACACTCTGTCGTTAGAGAAATATAATACAAATAAACTACAAATTTGGACCAAAATAGGCCTATAATTGAATGAGCTCAATAATCTTTTTTCAAGCAAAATAAAGCTGTGTAACGTCTGTGTTACTCTGTATAATATGATATGTTGAAAATACACCACACACACATTCACAACACAAAAAACGAAGCAGACCATAGCCCTGCAACACCCGGCCTTCAATCCAAACCACACCACATCCAGCAAATTAAACGTTTTTAGGGGGGGGGGGGTGCAAACCAAAAGTTTGAGGGGGGTGCAAATCGAAAATTTGTCCCCGGGAAGGGTCACTACGCCTTTGGGGGGATAGACACCATTAATTGCCGCACTGGTTGACACCCGACCTCGCTACGCCACTGGTGCGGAATATTATTTGTTCTTTATAAATTCACATGCGTTTTTTGAGAAATTGGAAATAGCAAAAAATACTACTTCCGGTGAACGGAAGTTAGTCAAAATTTGACAGAAGGCAGAGAAGCAGATGTTTTACTTAAATTAGAAATGTCATTTATCTAGGCTTTTGAAAAATCGAAAGCAGAAAAAGTTCCACTTCCTGTTATTGGAAATTGCTCAAAAGTTGAAACGGATCAACGATTTTAATATAATTCTAATACGAAATTTCATCAACCTAGCTATAACGGTGCTCAAGTAATCGTGTTAACACACACACAAACACACAACACATACACACAAAGATTAATACTAAAAAAATCTTGTTTTTTAAATGTATAGCTAACTACATGCAAAATAGATAATAATAAATTATTGGTAAATTATACTTCAAAGGACTCGAAACTGAACGTATAAAGTAAACAGTTGAAACCTACTGAACTGACAGTAGTCTCCCTTTTTTCCAGCCGGACAAGATTTACAGTTCCCACTGACTGAATCACAAGCTCGATTCGTACAATTTTCACTGCATTGTTTGCTGCAGTTATCTCCATATGTACCGCTTTGACACTCTGTCGTTAGAGAAATATAATACAAATAAACTACAAATTTGGACCAAAATAGGCCTATAATAGAATGAGCTCAATAATCTTTTTTCAAGCAAAATAAAGCTGTGTAACGTCTGTGTTACTCTGTATAATATGATATGTTGAAAATACACCACACATACATTCACAACACATAAAACGAAGTAGACCATAGCCCTGCAACACCCGGCCTTCAATCCAAACCACACCACATCCCGCGACGCACGACACCATGAATTCCACAATATTTTTAGTTGGTAAAATTTTGACACAGTAATTAATGTTTTCTTTCTGTATACAATTAAAATGTACTAAATTACATTAAAAAGTGCATGTTTCTTGCAAAAAATAATTGATTAAAGTAAATACTATAATGATAATGTATATTACTCTAGACTAAACAAGTAAAGTTTATAAAGTTTCATATGTGTCATCCTCGTATTTTTTTTATAATGTAACAACTATGAACCGTTTAACACTGAAAGTTTACGCGCATTAAATTTAAAAGAAAACATGAAATAAACAGGAAGTGATCTCCCCTAAAATTTCTTAATATTTTTAAATAAAACAACAGCGGATAACAACTCGGGAAATATAATTGATTTTTAATCCATGTTTAATTGCCTACAGTTTTTAAAATAGAATAGAATGTCGTAAAAAAAAACAATTTCACACCAAGTGAACGCAATACAAAATGTGTATAATAGTGCGGAACAGAGGCGTAGCGAGGGGGGGCGGACCGCACCGGGTGACACCATTTAGGGGGTGACACCAAGGCAAAAAATAGCAAAATATATAGAAAAAAACTTGAGGGGGGTGCAAATCGAAAGTTTGAGGGGGGGATGCAAATCGAAAACTTGAGGGGGGGGGGTGCAAATCGAAAGTTTTTAGGGGGTGCAAACCGAAAGTTTTAGGGGGGTGCAAATCGAAAATTTGTCCCCGGGAAGGGTCACTACGCCTTTGGTGGGGGGGGGGGGGGTGACACCATTAATTGCCGCACTGGGTGACACCCGACCTCGCTACGCCACTGGTGCGGAATATTATTTGTACTTTATAAATTCACATGCGTTTATTGAGAAATTGGAAATAGCAAAAAATACTACTTCCGGTGAACGGAAGTTACTCAAAATTTGACAGAAGGGAGAGAAGCAGATGTTTTACTTAAATTAGAAATGTTATTTATCTAGGCTTTTGAAAAATCGAAAGCAGAAAAAGTTCCACTTCCTGTTATTGGAAATTGCTCAAAAGTTGAAACGGATCAACGATTTTAATATAATTCTAATACGAAATTTCATCAACCTAGCTATAACGGTGCTCAAGTAATCGTGTTAACACCCACACAAACACACAACACATACACACAAAGATTAATACTAAAAAAATATCTTGTTTTTTAAATGTATAGCTAACTACATGCACAATAGGTAATAATAAATTTTTGGTAAATTATACTTCAAAGGACTCGAAACTGAACGTATAAAGTAAACAGTTGAAACCTACTGAACTGACAGTAGTCTCCCTTTTTTCCAGCCGGACAAGATTTACAGTTCCCACTGACTGAATCACAAGCTCGATTCGTACAATTTTCACTGCATTGTTTGCTGCAGTTATCTCCATATGTACCGCTTTGACACTCTGTCGTTAGAGAAATATAATACAAATAAACTACAAATTTGGACCAAAATAGGCCTATAATAGAATGAGCTCAATAATCTTTTTTCAAGCAAAATAAAGCTGTGTAACGTCTGTGTTACTCTGTATAATATGATATGTTGAAAATACACCGCACACATTCACAACACATAAAACGAAGTAGACCATAGCCCTGCAACACCCGGCCTTCAATCCAAACCACACCACATCCCGCGACGCACGACACCATGAATTCCACAATATTTTTAGTTGGTAACATTTTGACACAGTAATTAATGTTTTCTTTCTGTATACAATTAAAATGTACTAAATTACATTAAAAAGTGCATGTTTCTTGCAAAAAATAATTGATTAAAGTAAATACTATAATGATAATGTATATTACTCTAGACTAAACAAGTAAAGTTTATAAAGTTTCATATGTGTCATCCTCGGATTTTTTTTTATAATGTAACAACTATGAACCGTTTAACACTGAAAGTTTACGCGCATTAAATTTAAAAGAAAACATGTAATAAACAGGAAGTGATCTCCCCTAAAATTTCTTAATATTTTTAAATAAAACAACAGCGGATAACAACTCGGGAAATATAATTGATTTTTAATCCATGTTTAATTGCCTACAGTTTTTAAAATAGAATAGAATGTCGTAAAAAAAAACAATTTCACACCAAGTGAACGCAATACAAAATGTGTATAATAGTGCGGAACAGAGGCGTAGCGAGGGGGGGGGGCGGACCGCACCGGGTGACACCATTTAGGGGGTGACACCAAGGCAAAAAATAGCAAAATATATAGAAAAAAACTTGAGGGGGGTGCAAATCGAAAGTTTGAGGGGGGGGGGGATGCAAATCGAAAACTTGAGGGGGGGGTGCAAATCGAAAGTTTTTAGGGGGTGCAAACCGAAAGTTTTAGGGGGGTGCAAATCGAAAATTTGTCCCCGGGAAGGGTCACTACGCCTTTGGTGGGGGGGGGGGGGGGTGACACCATTAATTGCCGCACTGGGTGACACCCGACCTCGCTACGCCACTGGTGCGGAATATTATTTGTACTTTATAAATTCACATGCGTTTATTGAGAAATTGGAAATAGCAAAAAATACTACTTCCGGTGAACGGAAGTTACTCAAAATTTGACAGAAGGGAGAGAAGCAGATGTTTTACTTGAATTAGAAATGTCATTTATCTAGGCTTTTGAAAAATCGAAAGCAGAAAAAGTTCCACTTCCTGTTATTGGAAATTGCTCAAAAGTTGAAACGGATCAACGATTTTAATATAATTCTAATACGAAATTTCATCAACCTAGCTATAACGGTGCTCAAGTAATCGTGTTAACACCCACACAAACACACAACACATACACACAAAGATTAATACTAAAAAAATATCTTGTTTTTTAAATGTATAGCTAACTACATGCACAATAGGTAATAATAAATTTTTGGTAAATTATACTTCAAAGGACTCGAAACTGAACGTATAAAGTAAACAGTTGAAACCTACTGAACTGACAGTAGTCTCCCTTTTTTCCAGCCGGACAAGATTTACAGTTCCCACTGACTGAATCACAAGCTCGATTCTTACAATTTTCACTGCATTGTTTGCTGCAGTTATCTCCATATGTACCGCTTTGACACTCTGTCGTTAGAGAAATATAATACAAATAAACTACAAATTTGGACCAAAATAGGCCTATAATAGAATGAGCTCAATAATCTTTTTTCAAGCAAAATAAAGCTGTGTAACGTCTGTGTTACTCTGTATAATATGATATGTTGAAAATACACCACACATACATTCACAACACATAAAACGAAGTAGACCATAGCCCTGCAACACCCGGCCTTCAATCCAAACCACACCACATCCCGCGACGCACGACACCATGAATTCCACAATATTTTTAGTTGGTAAAATTTTGACACAGTAATTAATGTTTTCTTTCTGTATACAATTAAAATGTACTAAATTACATTAAAAAGTGCATGTTTCTTGCAAAAAATAATTGATTAAAGTAAATACTATAATGATAATGTATATTACTCTAGACTAAACAAGTAAAGTTTATAAAGTTTCATATGTGTCATCCTCGGATTTTTTTTTATAATGTAACAACTATGAACCGTTTAACACTGAAAGTTTACGCGCATTAAATTTAAAAGAAAACATGTAATAAACAGGAAGTGATCTCCCCTAAAATTTCTTAATATTTTTAAATAAAACAACAGCGGATAACAACTCGGGAAATATAATTGATTTTTAATCCATGTTTAATTGCCTACAGTTTTTAAAATAGAATAGAATGTCGTAAAAAAAAAACAATTTCACACCAAGTGAACGCAATACAAAATGTGTATAATAGTGCGGAACAGAGGCGTAGCGAGGGGGGGGGGGGGGCGGACCGCACCGGGTGACACCATTTAGGGGGTGACACCAAGGCAAAAAAAAGCAAAATATATAGAAAAAAACTTGAGGGGGGTGCAAATCGAAAGTTTGAGGGGGGGGGATGCAAATCGAAAACTTGAGGGGGGGTGCAAATCGAAAGTTTTTAGGGGGTGCAAACCGAAAGTTTTAGGGGGGTGCAAATCGAAAATTTGTCCCCGGGAAGGGTCACTACGCCTTTGGTGGGGGGGGGGTGACACCATTAATTGCCGCACTGGGTGACACCCGACCTCGCTACGCCACTGGTGCGGAATGTTATTTGTACTTTATAAATTCACATGCGTTTATTGAGAAATTGGAAATAGCAAAAAATACTACTTCCGGTGAACGGAAGTTACTCAAAATTTGACAGAAGGGAGAGAAGCAGATGTTTTACTTAAATTAGAAATGTCATTTATCTAGGCTTTTGAAAAATCGAAAGCAGAAAAGTTCCACTTCCTGTTATTGGAAATTGCTCAAAAGTTGAAACGGATCAACGATTTTAATATAATTCTAATACGAAATTTCATCAACCTAGCTATAACGGTGCTCAAGTAATCGTGTTAACACCCACACAAACACACAACACATACACACAAAGATTAATACTAAAAAAATATCTTGTTTTTTAAATGTATAGCTAACTACATGCACAATAGGTAATAATAAATTTTTGGTAAATTATACTTCAAAGGACTCGAAACTGAACGTATAAAGTAAACAGTTGAAACCTACTGAACTGACAGTAGTCTCCCTTTTTTCCAGCCGGACAAGATTTACAGTTCCCACTGACTGAATCACAAGCTCGATTCGTACAATTTTCACTGCATTGTTTGCTGCAGTTATCTCCATATGTACCGCTTTGACACTCTGTCGTTAGAGAAATATAATACAAATAAACTACAAATTTGGACCAAAATAGGCCTATAATAGAATGAGCTCAATAATCTTTTTTCAAGCAAAATAAAGCTGTGTAACGTCTGTGTTACTCTGTATAATATGATATGTTGAAAATACACCACACACATTCACAACACATAAAACGAAGTAGACCATAGCCCTGCAACACCCGGCCTTCAATCCAAACCACACCACATCCCGCGACGCACGACACCATGAATTCCACAATATTTTTAGTTGGTAACATTTTGACACAGTAATTAATGTTTTCTTTCTGTATACAATTAAAATGTACTAAATTACATTAAAAAGTGCATGTTTCTTGCAAAAAATAATTGATTAAAGTAAATACTATAATGATAATGTATATTACTCTAGACTAAACAAGTAAAGTTTATAAAGTTTCATATGTGTCATCCTCGGATTTTTTTTTATAATGTAACAACTATGAACCGTTTAACACTGAAAGTTTACGCGCATTAAATTTAAAAGAAAACATGTAATAAACAGGAAGTGATCTCCCCTAAAATTTCTTAATATTTTTAAATAAAACAACAGCGGATAACAACTCGGGAAATATAATTGATTTTTAATCCATGTTTAATTGCCTACAGTTTTTAAAATAGAATAGAATGTCGTAAAAAAAAAACAATTTCACACCAAGTGAACGCAATACAAAATGTGTATAATAGTGCGGAACAGAGGCGTAGCGAGGGGGGGGGGGGGCGGACCGCACCGGGTGACACCATTTAGGGGGTGACACCAAGGCAAAAAAAAGCAAAATATATAGAAAAAAACTTGAGGGGGGTGCAAATCGAAAGTTTGAGGGGGGGGGGATGCAAATCGAAAACTTGAGGGGGGGTGCAAATCGAAAGTTTTTAGGGGGTGCAAACCGAAAGTTTTAGGGGGGTGCAAATCGAAAATTTGTCCCCGGGAAGGGTCACTACGCCTTTGGTGGGGGGGGGGGGGGTGACACCATTAATTGCCGCACTGGGTGACACCCGACCTCGCTACGCCACTGGTGCGGAATATTATTTGTACTTTATAAATTCACATGCGTTTATTGAGAAATTGGAAATAGCAAAAAATACTACTTCCGGTGAACGGAAGTTACTCAAAATTTGACAGAAGGGAGAGAAGCAGATGTTTTACTTAAATTAGAAATGTCATTTATCTAGGCTTTTGAAAAATCGAAAGCAGAAAAGTTCCACTTCCTGTTATTGGAAATTGCTCAAAAGTTGAAACGGATCAACGATTTTAATATAATTCTAATACGAAATTTCATCAACCTAGCTATAACGGTGCTCAAGTAATCGTGTTAACACCCACACAAACACACAACACATACACACAAAGATTAATACTAAAAAAATATCTTGTTTTTTAAATGTATAGCTAACTACATGCACAATAGGTAATAATAAATTTTTGGTAAATTATACTTCAAAGGACTCGAAACTGAACGTATAAAGTAAACAGTTGAAACCTACTGAACTGACAGTAGTCTCCCTTTTTTCCAGCCGGACAAGATTTACAGTTCCCACTGACTGAATCACAAGCTCGATTCGTACAATTTTCACTGCATTGTTTGCTGCAGTTATCTCCATATGTACCGCTTTGACACTCTGTCGTTAGAGAAATATAATACAAATAAACTACAAATTTGGACCAAAATAGGCCTATAATAGAATGAGCTCAATAATCTTTTTTCAAGCAAAATAAAGCTGTGTAACGTCTGTGTTACTCTGTATAATATGATATGTTGAAAATACACCACACACATTCACAACACATAAAACGAAGTAGACCATAGCCCTGCAACACCCGGCCTTCAATCCAAACCACACCACATCCCGCGACGCACGACACCATGAATTCCACAATATTTTTAGTTGGTAACATTTTGACACAGTAATTAATGTTTTCTTTCTGTATACAATTAGAAAAGTAGCATAGGCAGGGGGGGGGGGGCGATTTAGGCAGTACAATCCTCCCCACCCATGGACAACTCAGTAAAAAAGAGTTGTCATAACACCATTGTTGCTTATTTAAATCTATTGACGAATTAGTATATATGTATAATTGTATGTAATGTATGTTTAGAACAGTCATCTAGAATCTGACGCAACGTTCACTCTAAGTTGCCCCCCTCCCACCTCACCACCAGAACAGTACATCCCGTAATTGTGTAGAGCGACATTAATTTTTTGTTGTTGTTGTTTTTGTTTAGAATGATAGATTATTTTGTTTTGTCAGCCTACATTGTGTGTTCTTATTTCTTTAGAGCACTACTTTAAATTTATTTTACATATTAGCAATGACATGCGGCTAGTATATATATATATATATATATATATATATATATATATATATATATATATATATATATATATATATATATATATATATATATATATACTACCATGGAAAAAACTTGACCCCCATGAGACGACCCTGGCAACACCACTGAATTAAATGTATTAAAATACATTAAAAAGAGCATGTTTCTTGTGAAAAATAATTGATTTAAGTCACTGTAAAGATAATTTCTGTATTGAAACTAATAAGGTTTCATATGGATTTGGTGGTAATATACAATATTATAAAATTATGTTTTTTTTACCTTGATTACAGAACTCCCCTTTTTTCCCTAGAGGACAGCCATAACATTTCCCTGATTCTGGATTACAGAGCTGTTCTGTGCAATTCGTGCTGCAGCTGTGCAAACAACTCTCACCGTATGTTTTATTCCGGCAACCTAAAGCAATATTTTTAAAATATAAAGTGTTTATATTTTATATAAATACCAACTGAAAATCCTACAGTTTTAAGTATTACTAATTCTGCATCATTTTTGTTACCCTTTATGCTACAAATAATAGATAATTTAAGAAAATGAAGCGCACCAACATTCAAAATGCTATAATAATTATATTTAGTAAAAGCAAACTTAAGCAACTAATTAATTTAAATATTATAAAGATAACAAAACTAATAAACATTTGCAGATATCATAGGAAAAAGTACTTTTTACTTTTTTTCCAAATCAAGATTGCTTATTTTTCTTTGTTATTGGTGGTATAATTGCTTTTCCTGTTTAAACGGAGGTCTTCAACATAATCCCATCCCCGCGTATCATCCCTCAGGACAACACAAACGGAGCAATGACCCTGTCAATTACTCAGCCCCCATCCCCACTAGCGTGATTACTCCAAGCTCATAATGCTGAATATAAAATAACATCCATATGTACGCAAACTAATAAAAACCTGCATTTATCTCAAATGGATGACTTATATGTTTAACAGATTTTATCTGTAAAAGCGCAAACTATGTGGTCAGTATGTTCAGGTCAAAAGTAATACAAATTAATTTTAAAAAAAACAACAACATTAATACCATTGAACAGCAAGGTATTTAACGGAATCATTTAAGTAATTTTGATCTGTGTGTGCATTTAATATGGTGTTGTGTTGACTAATAATGTATATAATTTGATTTTTCTAATAAGTATTGGGAGCCTTTGTTATTTTAAATGTACTGTTTTTTTTTTTAGTTATTTAGTTAATTATTTGCTTTGTTACTAATACCTTAAAGTGTAGTGTTGCGTTTTGACCGATAACTATTTCATAAATTATTGTTTCTAAATACGTATAACATCAAAAATATATAGACCTATTCACGTGTAACGGGTACCGACGGCTAGTGTACACTAAACGAACAGAAATTTAATTCTAAACATGCACGCAATAATAATCGCTTTGTTTTGTATTAAATTAATATTGAAATATTAAGGTTTTTAATAGAGATGCTTGCGTTTTCTCGGAAGCAGTTTCTCACTTGTTATAACCTTTTACACATATGTCTTACAATCGATTCAATAGGAGAAAGAATAAAAATATGTACAGGAAACTAATGAAAATAATGGAATTATAGGGTACAAGGATATGAAACAAATAATGCCCAGTTATAAATTATACGAACAGAATAAAACGTATCCCGTAAAAAATAATTGGAATACACCTACTGATCGTGTAAACCAACTTCCCGACCAGACAGTAATTTGGTCACCAAAGAAAATTTTGGGCGAAATGTTTTTTATTATTGATATTTTACGACAACACCATAACGTCTTTTGCTTAAATGACTACAAACAAAAGCCTGGGGGCTCATTAATGGAAATTTATTCCCTTTCATAGGTTTTTCATTGATACGTGTATGGTCTGTAACATAATATAACACCTATGTTCAATTTCCATCATTTAATGCCCACGTTTTTTTGTTATTTAGTCACGGCAGCTGATGGCTTTTTTTTAATTTGTTAATGCCTTTTATTGAATTTGTTATTTGTGAATATAATACAATCCCTTTTCCTTTAATGTTTCACTTTGATGTGAGCTTTACTTTCCTCTTATTTGTAATAATTTAGGCTAAGATTAAAAATGTTTGCGTTAAAATCCGCCCAGTTCATCTCTAAAATTGAGTTGCCTGATCCTATTTATCTCATGGTCGATGATATTAGCCTACCGTGAAACAGAGTTCAGCCTTGACGGTTCTCTGATCAAGTGAGCGTTTTTTTTTCTTGGATTTGTTTTGTTATTATTGAAATAAGTATTTTAAAATTTAATTCTAAGGGCCAATTTTCCATTTAATTAGTAAAACAAAATTCAATATACAGGTATTGTCACCCAAGATCTACCACTGTGCCAATATTCAGCGCATGCGGACAATGTGAGGTGGATTAACTTAAGCTTCCAAAATTTGCGAGCCACACACATACAAACATACTTAAGAAGCTAAATAAAAAGCCTTTAAAAGAACAACGCCTCATTGTAGTGACTAAAATGGTTATGCATTAAATTGCTTTATGCAATAATGCTCTTAAGCTTGATAAATTAATGTCGTGTTGCCTATGCAGGCTAAAATATGTTAAGCGGATATGCTCATTATATTTTCTACTTTTTACAATTTAAAATCTAAAACCTTTTGAAAACTTTTACCATGTTTAGCACATGTAAGTAAGTATTAAACAGCAAAACAAAATGGTTGAACTAATTACGTAATCCGAAAAAAAAACGCCAATTTTTAAATTTTTGGTACATTTAAAAACGCTAAGGCTTTTTTTAATGCACTAATAGCAATCACATTTACACGGCTTATATTCCAGTATATATATGAAAACTTTTATCGCAACAACTTGTTGATAGTCAAAATTCTACAAGGTCTGAAAAATTGCACCATTTTTGTTTGTGTGCAAAAATTTCAAAATTATTAAATTACCAAACTTATTAAAATGAAAGCCATCACATTTCCCATGTAAAAAAAGTTAATTTTTAGTATGAGAAACAATTACTGAAAATATGGTGGCTATTGTTTATAAATAATAAAAAGTAGTAGGCTTTTTAGTGTTAAAAAACTGCGAAATCAGAAAAAACAGCAACAAGTAGCGAAACGTAGGTAACAAATATTTTCCATTTCTGTGACGCTTATTGCACCCCATTGTATGTAGGCCTACACAGCTTGCCGAGATGATGGAAAATTCGATTATCAAATACATGAGAAATCCAGATACCCAATGATTTCAAATACAATACTATGACGGATACTTAACTTTTCGTAGATAGCTTGTAAAATTGGACAAAAACTATTTTTTTATTAATGGATTATAACAATTGTATTGTAAACACAATATACAAAAATCTTATTAACGTAATTTTTTTTCTTAATACAAAAATGGACAATGTATCCAAAGGTGAAATAAACACATTATGACGAAATTTGGTGAATTTTTTATGCGCATATCATCTTAAGCTTGCATAAAATAGCTACGTTCTTCTTCCTCTTCGTTCTTAATGTGTAGTGTTGGAAGGGATCAAGCCTTATCTGCTAGAGGGTTTGAACTCGAGACTTATTCGAATTTATCAACCATGAGCTTTTGCCGACTCGACCACGCCTCCATGACAATTAAGGATACGTGTCAACTGGTTATGCGCCATTGAGGCCATTTATTCCGATTTCAGCCTGCTTTTCTTTTTGGATTTGCTTCCATAGTCTTTGTCCAACCGAGAACAAACTACAAGGCAGCAGTCGTTGGATTTTGGAGTTGTCTTTCCTAGAAGAGTGGCTGTTCCCAACTAATGAGCCTCATCTGCCCGAGGGTTCGAACTCGAGAATTTTCGGTTTAGCAAGCATGATCTTTACCGACTCAACCACGGCGACCCCCGACAAACGATTAAATACATGCGATTTACCGACTAGTATAGAATACTGACTCGACCACGCCGACACCTATCAAATAAATGTTAAATAATTATTAATTAGCTACGTTAAATTTCACGAAACACTGTAAAAAATTGTCGTGATTTCTGTTTCCAAAAATAATGCAATGAAAAACGCTTTACTATTACCAGCTTTTATGCAATAATGCAATAATATGGATAAAATAAATGATTTTCTGTAAATATACAACAATGAACTCCAATTTAAATATCTTAAAAGAAACGCGTGTTTGTAACTAAAACTACTTACGAGTTGAGCAATCGGTTCCCGTATAACCATTATTGCAAGAAAAGCAATAACCATTGGCTGTGTGGCATTCAGAATTCCTACAGTTACTTGAACAATTTTGAATGCAGTCTAATCCAAATGTATGCGGTTTGCAATCTAGATAGGTATTTCAAATTTAAATATTGTAAACTTTACATCATTCAAAACTATAACAAATGTTATTCAATTAGAAAATATTGTTCCGCCCATAATTAGAAAAAAAACCCACACAAACTGTTTCATCTTTTTAGCTGCAACAGAAAAATATGTATAAAATTACGGTTTGACTATTCGCAGAGCTTTTATATCTTTAACACCATGCAAACAAAGTAACAGAATACAAGCTAGCTCTATAAGAATTATGGTCATTTGACTTAAAATTTTTACATTTAAAAAATGCTACATCCCAATTAGTATTATCGGAAGGTTTAGGTCTAGTAGAAAGACAAAGCTACTTGTTTAAAACACGTTTAATAATAAGTGTTAAAAAAGATTTCTGCTATTTGAGCAAAGCAAATTATTAAAATTGCAACACTAGTAATTTATTTTAGTATCTGATTCCCGCAACAATTAAAAAAAAAACATCGGTAAGTTATAATTAAAATCAATTTGATTTAATACAATTTTATAGCATCATAATATTTTTGATAATTCAAGTTTGTATATGTCTTTAAATGACGTATTAATGATTAAATCACAATAAATATGACTTTATATATGAAAGTATATTAATTTTTTATTCGTTCTCAAATCCGAAGGACATCCATTTCTTATTTGTATCTGACTCAGGTTTAGCGAAAATAAGGCCTATGAGCAAACTGATGATCATACTAACCCATCATGTGCAGTGGTCACAGAAAAAGATGAACTCAATTTCTTTTACCGTATTGACCAAAGTTCTAAATAACTTCAAAAGTTTGCATTCTTTATTTGTAGACATTAAGTAAACTTTTTTAAAAATTAATCATAGTTTATTTTATAAAGTACTAATTATTCGCTCAATATAGTTTACGTTCATTTGGGTGCGCTATTCTTTTTTTTCTACTTTATTTATTCTATTTAAAAAATAAAAGAATTACAAAAAATGAATGAAATTATAACTATAGCCTGATCGCACTAAAAGTGTCATATACGAAGTGGAAATATACGAATATACGAGAAAGTTTAGTGAGATCACTCCCTCTTCATTACACATGTTATAATGTTGCTAAATCTTGTTCAAATTGTGACTCGTGCTATAATAAAGTAGTTGTTTTAAAAGAAAACATGTCAAGTTTCAGAGAAATAAGTCTGTTAGAAGTTGTCGAAAACTTGCTCGCCAATTTCGATCCATGACTAAGACAAAAGACAAAAACACAGAGGTAGCAAGCTAAAAAGAAGCTTTTAATAATACATACCGCCATATATTTCGATTTCACACAGCGTGAGGATATCCGCCACTTTCACCTCTACAGAATATACTGGGGTTGAATGATTGTTATTTAAAACATAATACATTGAACTATTTCGTTTTTTGTCCTCAATGTATTTACTTATTAACATTTCATCAACGTTGTATGTCGAAAGATCAAAGCCATTTAGCCGAAACTGCGAGCTGTCTAAAAACATATCACTGTATTAGCATTTTATAAATATATGATTTACATTAAAAAAATATATTTAAGGTAGTGTGAACGCTTTATTCAAGAGAAACACTTTTTTTTAAATTTCAATATAAAGAATGTAGAGAAAGTATTCAGATCGTGGAGAAAAGTAAATGAGATTTGGACAGTTTTCACCGTTCTACCCCTCCCCATTGTATAAGTAATATAAAGTCTTATTCAAAAGCCTAATTTGACGTCTTGACCTATGTTGACGTTTTATAACCTTCCGTAGGAGAATAAAAAAACTAACTTTTCAATGCTGTTCGTCTACCTGCCCCCCCCCCCCCCCACTTTCTTCCCTCCCTCTCTCTTTCTCTCACTCTTACTCAGTTTGAAATGTGTGTATTGATGTAAAAGAAATAACTCAAGTACCGTTACAGTTACGTTTACTAACTTTCAAATATAAGTATTATGTTTTATTTTTAGTCATCTAACAACTTTTAAGAGGTTTGTTGAAACGGAAGTGGTGCTTACTCTATTTCTGTTTACTTAAAAAGCTCTACGTTGAGTACCTTTTAATTTAGATCGACACAATTTTAAATATTTTAATTGGAAGCTTACTTTTCTTAAAGTTTTAACAATTTATGATACACCGAAGTGGTACTTTTTTTCTGGGAACACGATACCTTCAGTACAGTTTTAGTTAGGATTTTTTAAAAATTTATTTATGAATTTATACTTGTATTACTCTCAGATTTTGAGTGATTCCCTTTTTCTGAAGATGATACTTTCCTCTATTTTCGGTTTCTAAAATACACATAACATTATTACAGTTTCATTTAGGTCAACGAAATTTTGTACATAGGTGTGAGTTGCTATTCTCTTGATTATATTGATTGAACCTGATTTACGATGACCAAAAGTGGAACATTAGACATTTACGATTTCTCCAAAAGGTGCGCGGACCTTTGACCACAGGTGCTTTGACCATAGAGGGTTTGACCATAAGGGGTTTGACCACAGTGGGGCTTTGACCATAACGGAGCTTTGACCATAGGGGGTTTGACAATAGGGGGTTTCACCACAGGTGTTTTTGCAGCAGAGGGTCATTGATCACAGGTGGTTTGTCAACAGGTGTTTGATCACAAGCGATTTATTTTAAATGTTGTGTAATTATACTTTAAATTGCGGCAGGATATAATAATATGTTAATTCATCATATATAAATACAAGTCATCTAAACCTTACAATTATTACTTCTTTGACTAAACTGTTGGCATGTTTTTTTTATCGTTTGTTATCCTTTCTATTTATGTATTTTCAAGTACATCTACATTATTTATTTGTGAAACTTGTTATATGTCGAATTATTTATGTTCCATTTACATTTAAAATAAATTCTATGAGGCGTAGTACCAGGCGTAGAGACTAAAATATCGTTCTTGACTCTTTTTAGTACGTTAATTTCTATTAATGGACTCCGAGGAAACATGTATAAAATCGTATTAATTGTATCACAACTTTAAATCAAATAACAATTTATAATATCTATTTTAAAATCTATATATTATGGTTAACCCCTCCTCTCTATGGTCAAAGCCCCTCTGTGGTCAAAGCCCCTGTGGTCAAACCCCCTATGGTCAAACCCCCTATGGTCAAACCCCCTATGGTCAAACCCCCTATGGTCAAACCCCCTATGGTCAAACCCCCTATGGTCAAAGCTCCGCTGTGGTCAAACCCCCTATGGTCAAACCCCCTATGGTCAAACCCCCTATGGTCAAACCCCCTATGGTCAAAAAAACTTTTTAAGTGGATCAAGACTCAATTACATTGCACTGTGACATAAAATGCGACTTAATTAGATGTAAAGGCATCCTTAAACTCTTAAAAATTAAAACTAATCAAAGTTTCTTTTATAAAGTACTAGGTTTCCACTCAATTATGCACATATTGTTTACTTTAATTGTGTGCGAATTATAAAGAAATATACAAGAATTATTTGGAGAGATAAATCCAGCTTTTTTAAAAACTGGAATGTGTAATTTTTATGATGAGTTATGAACATAAAGCGAAAAACAAAGCAGAACCTGCGACTACGTATCAGAACGCATTATTCAGATTATCGCTTAGACGCAATAGTCACTGAATATTTAAAATATGTTTATGCCCCCCCCCCCCTAAATAGTTTTAATTTTTTTTTTAAGAGTATTTGTTTTAGTTTTGTTTTTTATTTTGTTTAACTTTGAGTAGAACAAAATCCTATACTGGGAAAAGTGGTCAATAATTACCTTCTTCGATTAAAATAAAATAAAAGTTTAAAGATATATATATATATATATATATATATATATATATATATATATATATATATATATATATATATATATATATATATATATATAAAAAACAGTAATTAATTAATTTTTATTTTTGTAACTCTTTTAGATATCCGTTGTTATATTTAATCATATATTTTATAATACTCCACCTCTGTTGTAAAGTATAAATTGGGAGATTATTTTTGGACGATCAAATTTTAGCCTCCACAATCCTTGGTCGTTCTCTTTCGTATGAGTGCAGGTTTCGCTTCTTTGAAAATTACTGTCAGTGTTGCCGTCTACAGCTTTACTAGCGTAATATATGTCGTAATCACTGGATTGGGTAGCGTTTTGCTTAAGTGCTACATTTCTTCCTGCAGACGTACAAGTGTTTTAATACTTAGACGGTGACATTAATGTTCATCATCAATAAAAAATGTTTGATAATTGGAGAACGGCATGTTAAATGAATAACTGTGACTATGTTCTAGATTTACATTGGTCTATTCAAAGTATATTATCCGCGAGGATAGAAAAAAGTCCGAGGATAGACCGTGGCAAATCGCAACCTACAGGGTCGTCGGCGGACGCGCCTGATTCAGTTTAGTGAACGACTATAATGCCCCCTAGTATATCGCGCTGTTTAAAACGAACGTGGGCGCCATAGCGCTCACAGGATAGTCAGGGGCGCTTAATTGCACATTGCCGGGACGCCGCCCGTGCGAAATTTTAAAAAAAAAGTGTTTCACAGAAACCTTCACATGAGTACTTTAAACAACTTTCCAAAGTTTATGGCGATCGGATGAAAGGTGTAGTAATGCATAAAAGACAAATAAAATCTGACAAAATATATTAGGAGAACTTAAGCAATGCTTTATCAATTCTATATTCTTAGACGCGTGACCTTTTTATCTAAAATTGAGTCATTTAAATATCACTTAAATGTAATCAACTCCTACACTATATTTCTTGGATCGTTTTTGTCGGGGCTTGGGTTTACCTACACTGAAGCACAGCTCGCCATGGGTGAAAACCTTGAGTGTACATTAATCACTCACGGTAATTTCACCGTTAATCAATCACAGCCTAAGTGTTGATGATGTAGAGGGCACTCTCGTTAGCCCACGATTAAACTACCGCACGGGCGCCGCATACGGCACCTTGTCAATATTTTAGAGCGATACGTAAAACTAACGTAGGCGTGCTCACTGAATAGCGCACGTTGCAAAATTGGACGCACCTGATTATTTTTAGTGAAGTCTCTAAAACCCCATCTTATGCATAGTCTATCGCGCTGTTTAGAAGTAACGTAGGTGCCATTGCACTCACGGGAAAGCCCAGGTTGCCAAACTTCACCCTGCAGGGGCGCCGGAGGACGCGCCTGATTAGATATAGTCAACGATTATTGCTGTCCATCGTGTCATAATGTATAGCCTTAAAAAACAAACGAGCGAAGGCGCCATAATGCTATCAGGGGAGCCCTGGGCGTTTGGGATCACGCAATAGACGGGGCACCGGCGGCTGTTGAAGTTTTAACGCTGAATATAGAAATAACCCTTACGAGCTAAGCAGGATTCATAGAAATTTTGTTTTCGTAGTAGCCTTTCCAGGAGAAATGTCAGCAACTTCTTAAAGTTTCATGGCGATGGGATGAAAGGTGTAGCGATGCAAAAAAGACAAACAGATAGATAGACAGACAGACACACATACATTGCTTTTTACATATAGATAAACCATATAATGTAATATAATTGGCCAATGAATTTTCAGTTCCTGATACTATGATGATTGGGATCAAGATTTATTTTTGTATAATATATATATATATATATATATATATATATATATATATATATATATATATATATATATATATATATATATATATATATCCGGTTTAAATTAGATTAGTTTAGATTACATTATACCAGCATGTTGAGAAATTTAAACTTCTTAAAGTGCCACTGCTAACATCAACATACCTCCACTCACGTAAATAGAACACAGGGTAGTATCGGCCTTAAACTGTATTCGGACACCTCTAACCACCTGCTGATTTCTGCATATAATATCTGTTGTTGTCTGGTTTATGTATTCAACAGGATCTTTGCACTGAATATTGAAATTGTAATCGGAAACTCCTTTAAACATTGCTGTCAAAGCATGCTCATGACCTGTGATTTTTTATAAATAAATTACACGTTACGTTGTAGCATCTAGCAAATCAAAATTAAAAAAATCAAAATGTTATAGTAATGGTACGCCATGTATAAGTTTCATCTGTACATAATTTATTTAATTGACAAAAATTTTTAAAAAGCGTTCAGTCACAAATCACTCGCCTGGGGTTCGGGTAACAATTCTAATCCAAGTTATTTCATTAGCGTGGTCCAGCGTCAAGTCAAATACACGGGATCGTGTATTCATACAAGTTGAATCATCTCCATCTGTTATCGTGTCTACACCTCCTAGATTTTTCCCCGTAGCTAGATCTCCTTCAGTTGTATATATATATTTTAAAATTTAAATTTTTTTTATTTAGAAATTAAACAACGCATTTCATATTCTATATGTATTTTTAAAAATAATACTATAATTAATGAGGAAAAAAAAGCTACCTACTGTATTGACAAGACGGACCAAACCATCCACGCTCACACTTAGAGCCGGACATACAGTTCCCGTCTGTGTTACATTGCGCGTTAGTACAGTGACATTTGTACTGTAATCTCGAGCCAAACCACGCGTTGTCTACAATTTTCGAATATCAAATGTAAGATTACCAACATAAAGTTAATACGTTAAAAAACCTAACAGCTATATATATTTAGAATGATTGCATAAAAAGCTAACGCTAACCATGTAAATTTTACCTTTTTTTATAACAACTGGTGATTGATTTCAACTGTCTACATTTGTAGGAATATTTTTATGTCGTGCCACGAGTGTTTATGAGTACATATATTGTGTAGACGTTGTGGGTAAACGATAAATGAATAGACCTAGTTAGGTGTAGGCCTACGGAAGGAATTTTTAAGCTTTCGCTAAGGATTGTTAACAGCTGCTATGTATTTTACTTTTATGTGTTTGTTTTTGTTAATACATTAAACCAGGGGTCTCCAAACTACGGCCCGCGGCGATCTTTTTGTCCTCGGAAAAAACGTTTGTTGGTGATGGCTGAGGAATTTTGCCCAGAAAAATCTAAGACATGCCTGGAACTAACTGGCGCCCGAACTGAAATTTGATAGTTAATGCGGCCCTCGGACTGAAAAGTTTGGAGACCCCTGCATCAAGCCGTTCAAATAACAGCTGATTATTTGTTAAAATCAAAACATCGAACAAAAGTAAATTTTTAAAAATCTTATAAACTATAAAACTAGCGTTTAAAAATGTTTACATATATAGTCCCACACACAAAATTTGTTACCTGATTCGGCATTGTAAATTAAACTGCAAATCGCAAGTAGAAATGCTGCTACTTTTCTCATAGCTGCAATTTAAACGTCAGTACTGTAAATTAAAACAAAAGCCTTTACAATATATATATATATATATATATATATATATATATATATATATATATATATTCTAAGTACTATTCACCATAGTATTAAGGTAAGTATTATTAGCATATAAATTAATTATAAATTCATTACAAATTATAAATAAAATAAACTCTGATGCATTAAAATTTAACATTTTTTAACATAGGAAAATGTGGAATTTTAATGTAATTAATTGTATTTACATTAATATCCTCTTGAGTAATGAAAAATACAATATAGGCTACTTACACTACAGTCACCTAAGTTAAATAACTTACCGATTGCAAAAATTAAGCAATAGTTACCTTCACGTTTAATACATGAGAATTCGACAATAGTTAAGTTATCGAACCGTTAATAGATTAAAATACTGACCAATCTCGTGAATGAGAACAATATTTTAATTCACAAAATAGCTTCATAGCCGTGATGTTTTCATTAACAATTCTATTTTAAGCGAAGCTAATTTACTTCCCTGTAACGATAGGGTGATGACATAATTCACTTGAAGTGGTAGGCCTTTACTCCATCACCAACACATTGCATTCATTTCTTGTAAATAGATTTTCAGAAAGAAATGATGACTTCTCTTTGTTATGCAATAAAATAGTTTATACGTAAATAAAATACATGTATAGTTTAAAACCAAAACATACATACAAAACAATTTGTACCATATCTAAATAATTCAATATCACGACGTTGGTTTCGGAAGTTAAAATAGGTTTTGAAAAAATGTAATTCATTGATTAGACTTTCTCATAACTAAAATGTAATATTTTAGATGGTAAGCCTGTTGCGCGGCTGTAAGCGCGATGAATGGAACATTATGTACAGCTTTCTACTTTCTTGTATACTTAACATAGAGTTGTAATCGTGTACAAAATGGAATTTAACAGTTTTGCCGCTTCACGTCTATCGTATAAGGAATATAAATGATGTATTGTAGACCTACTTATCAAAAATTAAAATCGATATTTTGACCATCGAATACCTCAAATACTATTAAAGTTAGGTAGAAGTTTTGACTTTAGTACTATTTCTGATAATCGAAAATAGTACTTAATCAGATTCCGTGGGTTTTGTAGAATGCTTCAGTTACCTAGCAGAACTTTTTATTTAAAGTGACCTTTCCATAATTGGTACATTACTCTATTTCAGTGAGGAAAAACAAAATTTCATATTTTTGTATATGATCTCATTTGATGTTTTCTGTCCAATTGGTGGTGATTTTTCGGTAACCGAAAGTAGTGCTTTACCGATTTCCGATTTCCCAAAAATGTAATCTATGTTTCGTTTAGAAACCACTAATTTTCCGCTTCATCATACTCACACTCACTAATCGTTTTTCGGCACGATTCTAGTTTGTTGAAAAAAGTGTTGTGTTAAAAAAAAAGAATAATAAAATCATTTCTATAGCTCCTAGAAATGCCCTCAACCTACAATTATAAAAAAAAAATGTACAAAAACGTTTACGGTAGACAATTTCGTATTCTTAACTTGCCTATCTCTTTATCGGGGGAATTTTTAGATATAGGCTTACTAGAATACCTGTGTTCATTTAACAATATTCTCTCTTTCTCTCTCTCTCTCTCTCTCTCTCTCTCTCTCTAATGATTCATGTGTGTATACAGTTTTTTTATCTAACTAAATATACCTACGCTAATGCTAGTTTAACTTCCCTTTGTAATGCGTAATCTCCTTCCTGCATACAAGTGTTGGCTAACTACTACTCCAACAGCTGGCTGTAATTAACTTTACTTTTTTAATGTGACGTTTTACTTTAATCATCTCTACAACATGAAAACCAAACACGTTCCGCTGGGCGTGTAGCTTATTTTGATGTCGTATATGACTCATATCTGCAGCTTCGGCATTTTATTAATGAATCATCCAATGTTTAAAATTATTAAGAGATTAATAATTATCAAACTGAAGATGAAGACCTATATTGCATATACATATTGCTTTCATATTATAGCTATTCTTGACCTAGATAAATCTCAAAGTATTCTGCTCATCTGTTTTTGTTGGACGAGCAGCAACAATTTAATATTTGATTTGATATTACGCATGGGTGGGAGCCCCACGTGCCATAAAACCCACGGATTAAGTATACTACTTAGTGTTTAGCAAAGGACATATGTAGGCTATTGAAATCACTTGAAACAATAATAGGATGTCAATAACTGTTCATTCATATCTGATTAATCATTCTATTTTAATGAAACATAATTATTGATAAATGAATGGGGAGGCGTGGTTGAATGGTAGAGTGTTTAACTGGATGTTAGCACTAATTTCTTAGGACTACCCTGAGTCCACCCAGCTCTGATGGGTACCAGCATTACGTTGGGGAAATTCATGGAGGTTGAGAATAGTGCTGGCCACATCATACCTTTATATGACGAGATCAAATAAACTCTTCTTTTTGGCCCAATAAATCGATTATTTCTAAAAAATAAATTTATAAATAAAATGGATTAAATTTTACCAATGTATTCTGATTTATTAACTGTTAGTATTGAAAAAGAAAGTATATGGATGCTATGCATAGAGAACCGGAAGAATAAGCTGTAAATTATTACTGCGGCCATCTTAACTACTTCCTAATTAAGGAATTGGAAGACAAGCAGATCTATCTTAATCGGACTTAGTCCATAACCCCCTGGACATCGATCCCCTAGAAATAAACCCCACGACATAAACCCCCACTCGACATTAAGCCCCACGTCAATAACCCCCCCTCCCCCCCCCCTCCTCCCGTTTGAGAATTGTGTAAGGAAATACTAATTAAAAAAAAGTACAAAACTTAGCAATATAGAAGTGTTTATTAGACGTGTATTTATGTATTTGATTTAATTAATATGAAGACAAAAAAGATGGAAAACAGTTTTGTCACGGCCTTTTCTACTGCCTATTTCATGGCACACACTCAAAACAAAAATCATTTCCATAATTTTATTAGTTCATATGTACAACACCTTCACTGCAAAAAAACGTCGCCATCTGCTTCGCGCTCTATCTACCTCCCTCCTTCCTTTCCTTAGCGCATGCGCACACCCATACTATATTTTATATTTATATCGCCTTTTTAAGATACATACTCGAAACATACATTCATCTACATTTAACTGTTATAAGTTTCTTTTGTTTGATTCTGGTGCCGAGTCATAAAGTAAGATATTTTTATTTGAAACTCAAGACAATAACCTGAAAGTCTTACAGGCTACTCGGCACTGGTTGATAGGTGGTACATTCAAAACAGCTTCTACATTATTTACACTGTCCATTGACGGACTACTTCTTGTGTTTATTATATAGATAGGATTTTGCCAGAATGTGAGGTCAAATGGTGCTAGTACCATCAATGCCAAAACATTTTTAATATACAGAACCTCGACTGCGTTATTAATTTGTAGGTTAACTCGTTGTGTTGTGAAGAATGTAGCCTGCGCTGTTTTCTGTGCCGACTGACAATTTATAATAATTAAACTCTTTTTGTTTCAGATGTTAATTAATAAAATAAATATAAATTAATTATAAAATACTGTTTGTTTCGTATAATTGTTTTTTTTAATTACGATATATTTTTTCTCATTGTCGCTAGTGTTCCCTTGTATAGGGGTTACAGGGTTTATGTCGGGGGGGGGGGGGTGGGGGGGGGGGGGCTATGTCTTGACACAAACCTATCTAGATCCCTTGACTAGATTTTGAATAGCTCAGTTAGAGACTAAAACTTTCAGTTGGGTTAAAATAGGAAATAACAGATAAAACAAATTGAATAACATATAAAAATAAAAATCTTAAAGATAATTATTACGGCATTATATACATCCCGATACGCACATACTGATCTATTTTCGTATCATAGTTAAAAGATTAACACCAGAAGAAGACAATGTGGTAA